GGGAGGGAGGGGGGGGTTGCGAGTGATCGGCTGTGACCGCTAGTCAGACACCCAGCCAGGTACCTACATGTACTGTACCGTAGAAAAAGCGTGTATCTGCACGAGCACGTGGAATTTGATGCTGCCAATTCGCCCAGGTCCGGACTTACCACATACAAATACGGAGATGGTGGATTTCTCGAGAGTTAACGGTATGACATGATGAGCGCTCGAGCGGATATAGGCTTAGGAGTAGGGAATACCCGCGGCATAATATGTGTGTATTTTGTGGGGGGATACTCTTGAATCCGGGTTCGTACGAAAGCTTCGCCCTTGCCCGGGAATGGCCGCTGTGCATATGTTGTGGGCTGTTGTGGGGTGGGATAAGCTTAAAAGTGGAGTGATGGAGTCGGGAACAGCAGATTGTTTGGAGACGAGCTGAATCAAGGCTTTAAGGGTCTTTCTTGCCTAGGGTCGGTTCTGTAGCGAGGAGTGTCAGCTGTCAGCTGTCAGCTGTCAGCGGCATCTGCAGGGCATGAGTATTTAAATGCGAGGCCAAGATAAGCTGGCTTTGCAATTGCCTCAAATCCGCCAAACTGACCCCACTCGGATCAGACTTGGGCTTCTTCAGTTCGAGAAGGTGCCATCGATGCTGTTGCTTCCAGACACAGTAGGTGCATTCGGCACTCAGCACCCGGGTGGAAACATGCGACAAAGGCTTAAATAGAAGGCATCCAACTCGAAAATCTTATCGGCGGGATGTGGTTGTGTTCTTGATGGAGGAATATATAGGAGAGTATTCGCTATGCTCCTGATATATATATCTAGGCTCCAAGAACACCTACTAGTATGCATGAAGCTATATCAACTGTGTTCTGGGCACTTATGGCACCGTTCGTTAAAGACAGCTAGAGGCGACCCTGGCCGGCTAGTGCGGGAAGTCTTCACACGCTCGGTTTCAGAAGTAACTCCTACTTTACATGATTGGTGTTGTAAACATACAATTGCAATTAAGCATCTTGTTTATAAAGATGCCTCCGATTGATCTCGCAGAAAGGATGATGAATTCTTTGAACATGAAGAAGAGAGCATAATATTAATGGCTTCAATACCATGCATGTGATGTCGGCTCTCGGATTTGTACAAGCTTTTATGTACTTGCGGCGATTTCCCCTTGTGCCACCGCAACATATTGGAGGCATTAATTATAAGGCCCCGCCAGCTAGAAATGAGGGATAAAGCTTATCTGGTATTTAGTGCTTCTTTTTTATCTCTTTTTGGCATTCAGGCCGGGACACACGACATTAATTGCAGCTCTGCATAGCAATCCAGGACGCCCAGCTCAGGAGTCATTTTCAGAATTCTGCTTCACATCACAGCCCCGTCAGAACTTCTCACTCGTCCGCAGCTTGAGTCACCGCTGGAAATGATTGATATTCCGCACGCCCGCGAGCCTCAAAGGCTTGGCGCCAAGACACGTCCCAGTTCAAGAGCTCTGAACCTTCACAACCATCAACTATTCACACTCTCCCCCCTCCACCACCCGCCTCCCACCTCTCAATAAACCACCACCGCTGTCACAATGCCTCCCAAGCGTAAAGGTGCCATTGCCGGATTTGCAGGTAGTTGATCTCTTGCTTTCTGGCCCTGACCAAATAGCAGCTAGTTAACACACACCCCCAGGGCCCTCTGCCGCCACCGCAAGCTCAAAACGCACCAAGCCCGCCGCCCCCGTCGACGATGACAGCTCCGACGACTATTCCACGGACTCTGCCAGCGAGATTGAAGACCTTGCCCCTCCCGAGGGTGCCGTGCGGACGAAGAAAGCGCTCGACAGTGCGTCTCCTACTCCCCCACAGTCCTTCCTTCTTCCCCGTGCCTGTCTGTAGCTAACCACACAGCACCACCACAGAGGCCACCGTCAGCGCCGTCGTGAACCGCTTCACGCTCGACTCCCCCGTCGTGACGGCCGCACCCGCGGTCCGCACCCGCGACTCGGTCTCCCACCTCTTCAACAAGCACGACTTCGCCTACCTGCACATGAAGCCCGACCACGCCTCGCGCCCGCTCTGGATCAACCCCGAGAACGGCATCATCGTGCTCGAGTCCTTCTCACCGCTGGCCGCAAAAGCGCAGGACTTCCTCACGACCATCGCCGAGCCCATGAGCCGGCCGACGTTCCTGCACGAGTACAAGCTCACGCCGCACTCGCTGTACGCCGCCGTCTCGGTCGGGCTGGACCCCCGCGACATCATCTCCGTCATCGACCGGTTCAGCAAGATCCCGGTCCCGGAGAAGATCATCCAGTTCATCACCAACTGCACGGGCTCGTACGGGAAGGTGAAGCTGGTGCTGAAGGACAACCGCTACTTTGTCGAGTCGAATGATCCGGCGATGCTGCAGCGGCTGCTGCAGGACCCGATCATTGGGCCCGCGCGCATCCAGGGCGGCGACGCCGGCTCGGGCGTCATCAAGGAGTCTGCGCCGAAGATGGGCGCGCTGGTTATTCCCGGGACCAAGAACGCGGCGGGGACCGCGCAGCTGGGCGGCGCTGCGGCGGCCGCTGAGAAGGCGGCGGCGACGGCGGCCGCGGAGGATGTGTTTGCGTCTGTGACGGGGCTGGGGGATAACGACCAGGACGACGAGGACGAGGACGAGGACGCGGTGCACAGCTTTGAGATCCCGTCGGGCGAGGTGGAGAAGGTGCAGAAGCAGTGTCTGGACCTGGGCTACCCCGTACTCGAGGAGTACGACTTCCGCAACGACCGCAAGAACTCCAACCTCGACATCGACCTCAAGCCGCAGGCGCAGATCCGGTCCTACCAGGAGAAGTCGCTCTCCAAGATGTTTGGCAACGGGCGCGCCAAGAGCGGCATCATCGTGCTCCCGTGCGGCGCCGGCAAGACGCTCGTCGGCATCACGGCCGCCTGCACCATCAAGAAGTCGGTCGTGGTGCTGGCCACCTCGTCCATGAGCGTGGTGCAATGGCGCCAGGAGTTCATCAAGTGGTCCAACATCAACCCCGAGCAGATTGCAATCTTCACCTCCGACAACAAGGACAAGTTCCGCGGCGACGCCGGCATCATCGTCAGCACCTACTCCATGGTCACCAACGGCCGCAACCGCTCGCACGACTCAAAGAAGATGATGGACTTCCTGCAGTCGCGCGAGTGGGGGCTGCTCATCCTCGACGAGGTGCACGTCGTGCCCGCCTCCATCTTCCGCCAGGTCGTCACCTCCATCGCCACGCACTCCAAGCTCGGCCTCACCGCCACCCTCCTGCGTGAGGACGACAAGATCACCGATCTCAACTTCCTCATCGGCCCCAAGCTCTACGAGGCCAACTGGATGGAGCTCGCGGACCAGGGCCACATCGCCAAGGTGCAGTGCGCCGAGGTCTGGTGCCCCATGACGCCCGAGTTCTACAGCGAATACCTGCGCGAGCCGGACCAGCGCAAGAAGGTGCTGCACTACATCATGAACCCGCGCAAGTTCCAGGCCGCCCAGTTCCTAATCGACTACCACGAGAAGCGCGGCGACAAGATCATCGTCTTCTCCGACAACGTCTACGCGCTCAAAGCCTACGCCCTGAAGCTGCAGAAGGCCTTCATCTACGGCGAAACCCCGCAATCCGAGCGCCTCAAGATCCTCGAGAACTTCCAGCTCAACGACAAGGTCAACACAATCTTCCTCTCCAAGATCGGCGACACCTCGCTCGACCTCCCCGAGGCAACATGCCTCATCCAGATCTCGTCGCACTACGGCTCGCGCCGGCAGGAGGCGCAGCGGCTGGGACGCATCCTGCGGGCGAAGCGCAGAAACGACGAGGGCTTCAACGCGTTCTTCTACTCGCTCGTCAGCAAGGACACGCAGGAGATGTTCTACTCGTCGAAGCGCCAGGCGTTCCTCGTGGACCAGGGGTACGCGTTCAAGGTCATCACGCACTTGAGCGGGATCGAGAATCTGCCCGGGTTGGCGTACTCGACGCTGGCGGAGCGGAAGGAGCTGCTGGCGGAGGTGATGCTGCAGAATAGTGATGCGGGGCAGGAGGAGGGGGATGACTTTGATGGCGCGAAGAATCTGTCGTATAATGCGAACATGAAGCGGCGCGGCGCGAAGTATAAGCGCAGTATGGGGCGGCTGGCAGGCGTGTCTGGGGGTGATGGGATGGCGTATGTCGAGTATAATAAGAAGATGCAGATGCCGAAGCAGAGCCATAGCTTTTTCAAGAAGATGCAGAGGGAGAACGAGAAGAAGAAGAAGGAGCAGAGGGATTTGCTGAAATAGAGGGTGTTTTCTTTTTTTGTTTCTTTTCTTTGATGGTTGTTATTTGACTTTGACTTTTTTTACTTGGGATGGGGGGGGGGGGGGGGGGTTTGGTTTCGTCTTTTTTTTTATATCAGTTTTTTATATCATGATTGTGCGCTGGGCTTTTAGTTGGTTGGGCGGATGCTCTTAGACGCGCGGGTTTAATACATTTCGACGTTGTTGGAGGTGGGGGGAGGAGAGCTTAAATTGTATGACTATGACTGGAACGAAGGAATTACAAAAGGACTAACACGTAGTTAGTAGAACGCAGTACTAGCTGCTAGTAGAATATAAACTTTATTACTACAGGCTTTTATATAATCTGCAGAAGTGTCACTTGTGGGGGTTTGGGATGTACATGTATATCCTAGACACCTAAACCTGTGCCCTTCAGTAACAGAAGCTTCAGTCCTGTAGTATTTGGTATCCCAGTCCAGTTAAATTTGTTCTTCCTGAGATTCTGTAGTACCAACATGAACATACACTACCCGAATACTAGGCGGCGGTCACACAAGACGTTGAAATTCCCTTATTTAGTGATTTGTCTTGACCACACACCCTCCCGCCTACTGACACTAATTTCAAAACGCAATTCGGCACCTTGTATGACCGGCCATCTAGTCTATTCGAGTTACTTGCAGTACAAATGTAGCTAGCTAGTAAGTACGTAACTATTGAAAGAAAAAAAACCCGCGATTCAATCATTGATATCATCAATTCTTCTTCCCCCCCACCTCCTCAAACTCCTTCATCTCCGTATTACCCAACGGATGCTCCGTCCTCCTCTCATGCGACTCCTTGGTCTCTACCAGTGTCGCATTGTCGCCCTCCTCGTCCTTGAACGTGTACGAGCGGAACTCGGTATTGCTCCATCCCGTACCGGGGAACGATCCGTCGCCGGCCCAGTCCTCGGTCAGGTAGTGCAGGAACTACTCAGCCCATTTTATTAGAAAAAGCTAGAGGGAGGGAAAAGAGGAATGGGAAGGCAGGACTTACAGCGCCGTGTAGAACAGCAACGACATGGCTCGTATCCAGAGATTTCAAGTAGTTCCTCGCCTCCTTCGCCCGCGCCCTCAAAGGTTCCGGCTCCGGCGCCCACTTGCCTTTCTACACCCCCACCCGCACCCACATCAGCACCACACACCACTACACCACGCCCTTAGACAGAGAAACCACACAACATACCTTCGAATCCCAATCATCCCCCAACCTACTAAAATCCAAGCCTTTAAATGCCTCCTCCTTCTCCAACACCTCCCTCGGACTCCCGGTGTCACACGGCAGCGCCGAGGCCTCTTGAAATTCGGGCACCACCTCAATCTTGACTCCGCTCTGCACCTGCGGCGCAAACCCGATCAGCGTGGTCTGCAGCGTGCGCTTGAGCGGCGAGGACACCAGCAGCGTGACTGGGGGCTCGGCTGGAAATCGCGACGGGAGGGATTGGCATTGGGATTCGCCTAGGGGCGTGAGGTAGGTGTCGTGGAGGTGGTGCTGGAAGTCGACGTTGTGGGCGGCTTGGCCGTGGCGGACGAGGGTGACGAGGGTGGGGGCCACTGGCGGGGGGAATTTATTGTAATTAGTAGGCGAGGAGGAGTGAACGGGGTAGATATTACTTACTGGTGAAATGAAGTAGATTTATTTTATTCGGGGCTGTGGGGGATCGTGGAATTGGGATGGTGGTTTTGGCTGTTAAGTACTTCATCAGAAGCCAGCTACGGTTGATAGCTACCCCACCAGGTGTCTGAAAGCCTGCAATGACTCCTTCAGGCGGGCCACTGTTCTCCGAAGTGGTGCATTCCGTCATTGGCAGGGATCAACAATAGTAAACGCCTGGCACTAGTAGTCTACATACTAACTAGTATGCACTGCTCAAAGAATGGGTTATCAAGAGCAAACGGTAATACAGCCAAATCCTTATTCCGAAGAACCACACAACCGATAAGCTCCAAATTTTCCTAAAGCTCAGAGAACCTTGGCAAGAGCCCAGAATTAATTTTTCGGTCATTGGTTCCATCAATTGGAGCCTGTAGAGTGCGGTATCGAACTGATGAGGCCTTGTTGCGTTGCCACACAGGTACCTTTTGCTAGATCGACACCCATATTACATGTATACAGTACATGCTGGTTCTCAATCACGGTGGCTCATACACAATATTTACGAATCGCAGTTCTCCCAAAGGAAATTGAAACCTCTGTAAAGGTCAAAAAATAATATTGACAGCTATGGCATCGATAGCTGTTGTGTTAAAACTACTCATAAGAAACAATACAGATTTGGTGACACAGGTCTTGGATATCCCTGGTTTGAACGTGTATACCCGGAGCGCATTGACATGCTGCCACTGCTTTCTAATATATCATGACAGTATTATCGTATCGTCCGTATTGCAGACTTCATCCTCTATAGCTACACCTGCACAACTTTCATCGTCTGCATGGTCTGTAGAGCCCGAGTCCGTTTCCTCGTCTGTATGGTCTGTAGAGCCTAAGTACCTTTTCTTCTCCACAGGTCTAGACCTGCCGAAGACGCGCGTTACAGTCCCTCCTACTATTCGTCGAGGCTTCAGTGGAACATCCTTAATTAAAGTTGTCCGATTAGCATAAAACTAGCTCATAGTGTGATCAGATAACATGTTTATCTATACCGTTATGACCTCAAACTCCTTAAGCATACTGGACTCTCTAACGTGTGGCACGCCGCTCAGATCTAGATCAATAAAAACACCGCATCTGTAAACCGCACCATAGGTATCATCTGGAATGTTTTCAATCTGATCCACTCTGTATTCGCTGTATTTGAACGTTTTCGCGAGATCGGCCTTTTTTACGGTAACACGTTCGAATCTGAAGTTCTTGCTAATCACCATTTCCGCAATGGTCTGTAGAGTGGTTAAATCTTCTTTGGTGACATCGACAGCGATATATCGCCCATTCACCGTTTTACTATGGGCAATATCATGGTAAAACTGTCCATATTCATCAATCTTCCACCCGAAAAGAAGACAGTTAAATCTGAGCTCCAAAATCTGGCCAAGAAGATGCATTGAGGAGTGTGCTATCACCTCTTTTCCTAAATGATTTATTGGATATTGATAAGCCGGCGTCGAGTTTTAGTTTCTGAAAACGGGATCAAACCTTCACGAGTACTTGAAGACACAAAGCACAGAGTGCAGGACTTCACTAGAACCCTATTGCAATCCCAAAGCTTGCCATCGACAGTCACGCAAGCAGTATCATTCAATAATTCTTCACCACCAATAAACCGCGCTATTTGAGTCGGTCTTGTCACCCAAGACTTCTCGTTAAATGATCTCCCGTACTGGGGTAACCAGACAACGATATTTCCACGTGTCATCTCTGCAAAGTAATACATCAGCCGAGTCTGTGATTAATCACACAGATATACGGATTCTTACCGCGGATTCTATCCTGGAACTCAGCGTAATAATTCACAAAATCGGCCATTCTGTCGACGGCGAAGGCCGGTAAATCCCATTTACCGATCTAGAGAGCAACTTTGTCAGCATTGCTTGAGCGTTTAATTCCAGTAGCACCTTATACCAAGTTCATGGCGCCATGTAGCTCTATTTTGCAATCAATCATCAATGTGATGGATAGAAATCTATAATCGGGGTTACGGGGAGAGGAGATATGAGTATGAGTTACATTTGTCATAACATCGTCGAGAGGAAGGACGTTAGGCTCCACCCCATCGACTAGCGGATCGGCGTTTGCTGCAACCTTTTCATTATGTTCGCGGGAATCTTTCTCAAGAAGCTTTTGAAGTCTTTTAACAGTTGTTGGATCAAACGAGAAGGGATTCTGCCGCGGCATGATTTGAGTTAAATAGTTCTAGTGGTTTTGAAATTTACCTAGAGCAAGACTCTAAATCGTGATCGAAGTTGCAATTGAGGAATATGAGCTTAGTTTGCAACAAGCTACATGTATATTGCCACTTGTCAGTTAAGCCATTATTCAAGTAGGCCAGATTAATTAATGAATTAAAAAAAAAAGCAGGCCAGATTGTATCGAGTGATGGTTTGTGACTCCAAGTAGTAACCGAGGGTAAAGGCCATGTGTGTCACACTGGGTCTTATATTTTTACATACATAAATTCCGTACGACTAGTCTGTAACTCCAGATCAGGTCTTAGTCCCCAGATATATTGCCAAGCTAGCGTAAAAACTGAACGTTAGCCAAAAAGGTCTCTCTGAAATTTGGTCAACCGTCAACCTCCACTAACATCTACAGCGAAAGAAAATTCATCACACCAATCCTCATACGCATCAGGGCGCTCTGAATGCCACGAAAGGACCGCCTGCCTGGGCATCCCACATCTCCGCCCCCGCGGCACTCGGATTCATCAATACCATGGCAAAACGAGGACAAGAAGTGTCTGACATCATCCTACTACAACCTTCCGGCTGTGAGCCTTCTCAGGCCTCAAAATAACATGACATGAGCCTTATTGCACTCAGCGACAATTGATGGCATTCTCTAGGCCTAGGTCTAACTACATGCTTCCACTACGACGGCAGCGAGATAGTCTTGATAGTCAGTCGACTATTTGTCTACGGGCATCTCTTTCTCCTTTACTTATATTGAGCATGATTCTTCAAATTATCCTTGGTAATCAAGGAGGGGAAGAACAAGAGGAGTTGATGCCTTTCTGCATCTTCAGCTCATCTAGTTTCATGACTTCGAAGTCAATATAGATCAAAACGGCACCTATGTTGTATGCGAGCAGGAAAGGTGCCTGTATGGTCGATATAGGTCGATAGCTGCCTTAAGAGACAGCGTAACTATAGGCTCTCAGATTCAAAGTTCTCTCTTGGACGGCACACAATTCACCAAAAGATTCGTCAATCTCACGGAATCCACCTGACGGACAGAGTGGGAGAAATGCGGTGCCTACCCGTTTGTAGAGCGCCGTCTTGGAGACGCTCATATTAAATAACTCAACTCATTCACAGAACCTATTACATTGAATAATCAGAGCTATGGCCTGTTGGATATCCTGAGTCTATTCGTCGAAACCAAAATTCGTCAAATAGACCCGGGCATGTTCGAGTTCTGTACGAGTGATAATCAGTGATGCGACTGAAACCTTGTTGGTTATTTTTTTACTCTGTTCTCGGAATAGGGTGATCAAAGCCTGGTCTGCGGCTTCATTACCCAGTCACCAAACACCATTAATATATCACATAGCTGCCAACTAAGCTACCTGGGTCGAAAAAAACGTATAGATATTCGATGGAAATCTATCTTGTCATTAAGGGAGAAAAAAAGTATATACACTATCCATCACATAAGGGGACAGTTTCTCGAAATATGAAAAAAATAATGAAAGAGATAATTAATCGGCCGTCTCAACACTATAATCTACAAGTCGTCTCAAAGCCTGCTCTAAAACAGACAAATTCAGTTGCGCACACCTAGTATCCATAACCCCGCTATCAGCTACGTCTCTCAGATATTCCTCCTAATAAAATCCTCTGGCCTCGTTGTTGCACTCCTTGCTGGCGGTTGAAACCGACCATATTCATTCGCACCTTGCATCCCAATATCTGGTCTTGCCGTTGCACTCCTCTGTGGCTGTTGGAATTCCCTAGCGACTGGAGGTGTCGTGGTACTTCGTACCTGTATGGGATCTTCTCTACCAGAAAAGTGACTTGATGGTAGTTCATCAAAGTTCTGACCAGGAGCATTTCTAGCAGCTGATGAAGGAGTGTTTGCAACAGCTGAGGCAGGAGTATATGTTGGTCGTTTGTACCCACCAGCGTTTACTGGGCTGGGAGTTTGGGTATCTAATCGAGGTAATTGAGGACGCGATTGCGCTTGCTGCTGGTAACTTTGCTGCTGGTAACTTTGCTCCTGCTGTTGTTGCTGTTGTTGCTGTTGTTGCTGTTGTTGGCGATTTGGTGGGAAATATTCGTATGTATATGGCTGTGGGTCTGGAGGCAGTTGCAATGGGTTTTGCTGTGTTGTAGGAGTCTGTTGGCGTGTTGGGTAGTATTCCTGAGGCGACTGTACCATTTCGATTGGAGATTCACTATAGTATTGCGGTTGCTCTCTCGGAAGTGCGATTGGGAACCTATTCTGCGCTGAATGCTGCTGCTGCTCTCTGGACATCACTGCAATCGGGAATCTCCCTTGTCCTGGTGCATAACCTGATCTACCTGATCCCGATCTACTTGGCGGTGGTCTCTGTGGATATTGCCCACCCTGTCCCTGGTACCGGGCTTGCCCAGACATGGATGATCCATCGGAATATCCATCTTGCATTTGTTGCCTGTTTAATCTATCTGCAACAAATGGGCCTCTTCCACTCTGCGATGACGGCGAGTGGTAGTCCTGAGTTTGGAAGCCTGGCCCGTTTCTTTGAGCTGGGGTTCTTCTCCCCTCACTCCTACCACTGCTGCTTCCAGCATATGCCGGCGCAGGAGTTCTACTGCCAACGATGCTTCCAGCATATGTTGGCGCAGGAGTTCTGCTGCCCTCGCTTCTTCCCCCGCCGTTGCCCGCGTATCCGTATGTAGAAGGAGGGGCAGGCATAGGCGGTGGAGAACCCCATTGTCGTTGAACCTGCTGCTGCCTTTCCGCGTACTCTGTACTCTCGTTACTTCCTCTTCGAAATCCCTGTCCCCCGTATCCCATACCTGCTTGTGACGAAATCAATGGAGCAGATGCTTCGTAGGATGAACCAGACATCATCGTCTGGCTTCTGCCCATCGGACGGCCAGAGCTAGCGACAGAAGACGAAGTCTGCACACGCTGCAGCGGCTTCGGCGTCCCTCCTCTACTCTCCATATCTGCAATACTAGGCAGCGTTGGTTGCCGAGATGGCTGCTGCATCCTCGCTCCTGCTGAGATATTCGAACTAATTATTGAAGATGCATATGATGGCTTTTCCATCATTGCCGCAGCTGGAATCGTCGGCGCACGTAGCATCCCAGCTTGAGATTTCTCCTTATTCTCCTTCTGGATCCCTTTCTTGTGGTTTGCAAGAACAATCTCACCCATTCGCTTATCAATACGTTCTTTGCAGTATTTTCGGAGCGAGTCGCCGTTCATAACGTGCCAAAGAAACGTGATGAAGAGAATGCATGCAATGAGGAGCTGTAGAACTGCAAAAATCCAGAGAATTGTAGTGAAGGCCATCGAACATAGGACCACGACTTGAATCTTATTTTCGCTCCAGAGATGGTCGATGTTTTCGAAAAATTTGGAGATTGCTGAGAGAGTCTCGGTCTCTTTCTCTGGAAGGAGATCTGCAGAGACGACAGAGACGAGAGTGAATGTATTTATGACGACTCTGGGGCCTTCAGCAAAGACAACCCCCACCCAACCTGCAATATTGTGATTAGCATAGTCGATTGTGCTGGGTAACAATTCCTCCATACCTTTGAAGGAAAAGTAGGTAAACAGAGCAACATAGTCTGCTTTTCCTCTTTGCTCCGTCAATCGAGCAAATACAAGGAATCTTTTCCAGCCAGAATCATCGCCTCCCTTTCCACCCCAGACGCTGTTCCAACGCAGCGCGATAACATTCATGTAAGCATCTGCCACACCGCCTCTTCTGATGACCTTGATCGCAAAAAACCAGTCGTAAATAATTAGAAGGTAGGAGATAAGTATACAAATGGCGAAGACGATTTTTGCTGTCTCAAAAGGAATGACTGGTTGGATTTGACTAGACCATCTGTTATACACGAGGAGAGTAATGGCCGTATAACTATTGTTTCTCAGAATTTAGAAAAGAGAGGTATATATAAAATACGAAGAGACACACTCACGTATCAGCGGCCACACATGCGAGCGAGATCAAGATACTCAAATAAATCCAGATGTAAGCTGTGACGTTGACAAACGACTTATCCTGGAAATCTTTAAGGTTCTTTAGTTGTCGAAATTTTGGTTAGCTCCCAATGCGGCGCAAGCGAAACATTGACTTAGGAGGAGGACGCAATGCGTTGCAAAAGTAAAGCGGAAAACGCACGATGTATTCAAACTTATGCTCTGGTGCCAATTCAGTCTTCCTCTTCTTATATCCCGAAAGCCACCCCATCGCTCAGAAAACAAAAGAAAGCCACAAAAGAAATGCTTAGTCAAAAGATTGTTGAAAGTAATCGAAATTCCCCAGCAGGCCTCCTGTGCCTGAGTGTTGCTTTCGAGGGTGCCAGATCCAGCCGGCTTGGTTATGTGTGAAGTCGTGCTGCACCCGGCAGATATCGTGACGGCAGCGAAATATCAACAGAATGATGAAGAAAGGAATGGGGGAAGAAGTGCTTTTTGCAAGAATCCGCTAGAGTATATTTTGGGATACTCGGACGTTTTCGCGCTCATCTGGATAACTTGTGGTTTCAAGACCCGCTGAGGAGTAAACGAGAGGATGACGACTCTTTGAGGAAATGTGCAGCTACAAAGTAAATACCGTGCGCGACAGGAGCCAAGTACTGGGAGGGGGTGACAGCCAATTGAACGAGATGCTGAGGCAGGCTGAAGGCCTGTAGGGGTCACTGGGGTAGACACCTGTTGATCAAACAGCAGTGTGCTTCACCTTCCAACCACGATATTAGTGGGTCACTCAAATTTGAATGTAATTTATAGTAGATGGAGGGAACGATGCCTCTCTATTTAGATTGGTTCCCAGTTTGATTGGTCTAAAGAGAACCCCTGGGATGTGGCCATTCCTTATTCCTCATGGTGAACTGGAAGCCTTGAAGAATCACCTGAAAACAATTGAATCATTGAAAAAGCAAACATAACCTGATCTTGGTACACGAAGGAGGAAAGAGACAATCTGAGGCAAACTAGAAGCAGGGCTTAACATTCCCACGCTCTCCTCGTTGCACGTCGCACGGCCTATCGCCAATGCTCGGTACCTTGCAGCCGTTGATTCAGAATGATTAGGGCTAATCTTGTTTGGGTGATAGTTTTACCAGGGAGGCGCTGGCCAGGGCGGTTATTGGGAGACCCCTGAACCGCTGTTGCCATTCCCTAACTGACCCTAAGGTCCCTAACCAACTCAGCTAATCCTAGCTGTTGCCCTTAACTTAAGCATGTGGCGGTTCACTTCACGGGCCCGAGGCTCTCTCGGTGGCTTCGGTGCGTGGCTAAAGTAAAAGGTTACTTGCAGATCATGCCAAGCATCTCGCCGTTGTCAGCCGACGATAGGCGAGCTGAAATCCGGGGAAAGGTCACGAACTCGATCCAAGAAGCTGCAAGAGCCATAAACCCCAACTCTTAACATCCCCTGAATTCCAGCACTATACCCCCAAAGCATCCCGGCATTTGCTTGTAATTCATCATGATGAGATCAGTAGTTCCTTTAAGATTTCTGCGTCCTGCATTTAGAGCTACAGTTCCATTTTCTACCTCGTCTAGACGCAATCATGCTCAGGGAAATCTCGAGAAACGGAAGCTAAATATTCCAATTGATTTTGCAGAATCTTCTTAGTATGAGCCTAAGCTTCTCTCTAGTTTTTATTCCTATTTAACATATCATCTGTAGTCTTGCACTCAATTCGAAAGCTGCTTTCTCCAATCCCGAGCTTCCATCTACACTAAGCACAACTTCTAAAACGAAGCGTATGAACCTGTTCCAAGCAATAAACGATGCTCTTGCAACCATCCTAGAAACCGATGAGAAAGCCTGTATATTCGGTGAGGACGTAGCTTTCGGCGGTGTATTCCGATGCACCATGGGCCTCTCCGAGCGTTTTGGCGGCGAGAGAGTCTTCAACACACCTCTGACCGAGCAAGGAATTATCGGTTTTGCTGTTGGCATGGCCACACAAGGTCATACTGCTCTTCCAGAAATCCAATTTGCCGATTACCTGTTCCCCAGTTTCGACCAGCTACACAACGAAGCTTCTAAGCTCCGGTACCGCAGCGGCGGAGCGGAATCTTTCAATAGCGGTCACTTTGTCGTTCGCATGCCTACAGGTGCGGTTGGGCATGGCGCACTTTATCACTCTCAGTCCCCAGAAGGGTTTTTCATGGGAACACAAGGTCTTAAAGTAGTCATCCCACGCGGCCCGATACAAGCCAAGGGACTCCTGATAGCAGCTGCTCGTGGTCCTGATCCAGTTGTTTTTATGGAGCCGAAGATCCTCTACCGTGCCGCAGTCGAAGAGGTGCCAGTTGGAGAATACGAGCTTCCAATTGGCAAGGCCGAGATTGTCCAGAAGGGCAGTCAGATTACACTCATTTCATGGGGAACTATGATGTATGTGTGCGAACTTGCCGCAAAAGCCGCGAAGGAAAGGTTGGGGGTTAGCGTAGAGGTCATCGATCTAAGGACCATCAGGCCTTGGGACAAGCAGACTATCAAGGAGAGTGTTGATAAGACGGGCAGGTGCATTGTTGTTCATGAGGCGAGTAGGACTGGGGGTGTAGGGGAGAGTATAGCATCAGAGGTACAAGAGAGAAGTTTCTTGAGGCTAGAGGCTCCAGTTCAAAGAGTCACTGGGTGGGATGTGCACATGCCCCTAGTTTTCGAGAATTTCATGGTTCCTGATGTCGCAAGTGAGTTTCCCTTTCGAAAGACCTGTGAGATAGTTTACTGACAATGTGTTTCAAAAGGGGTTTTCGACAGCATCAAGAAGACGATGGAGTATTAGCTACACTTATAGACATGTGTGATGTATTTATGAGCGAGCGATTTGCATTGGCATATAAAATGATACCATCTGTGAAATATGCTTTGTTTTACATGATCTGTTTACGAGCGCGCATAGAATTTCTTTTCCACCTTTAACAATATCTACCTACGTCTTGATGTATGCTTGCTATTTCGTGTAGACGCTTTAGCTTTCTGCCCTGAAATATGTCCTAGATAATGAAAACGAAACGTTCGAGTGAAAGAGACGAGTGACAATTTGTGATCTGTCATGACCAGGTTGATGACGTCCGTCTCGCGAACGGATGGCTCCCTTCGTGATTCTCCAATTGGAACAGTGGATTTTCGGCAATGAGAACTGTCTATTCGTGAATAGACAATGGGCCGACCTAATTGGCATAACTAACATTAGTTAGAACCAAGTGTTACCGAATTGTCGATGTTCTTGAATGGAATACAGTATCAATACAATACCAATAATCAGATGAGGAATCCTCCTTCGAAAGTTAGATAAATCCGCAATGCAGTGGAATTGTTTTTAGTGATCGTTGAGCCCAGTCAGTGCGTATTTCCTACTAGTGTTTGCTTCGAGGCTCGTCCACGGCGTGAGTAAAAACGAATAGCTTCACTCCCCGACCGGTCGCAATATCAGGATCGATAAAAGGAAAAAATATGAAGTTGTTTCGACATCGGCAGGATTTGAACCTACGCTCGCGAACGAAACAGATTTCTAATCTGTCGCCTTAACCACTCGGCCACGATGTCATGTTTAAGCTGCAGTTACATGTTTTACAAAAAACATATAGTCACACCGAATCACTCATATGAGTGATAGGCCATGAACAACAAAGGTCCAATAATCGGGGCTTCTTTCTGACGCTTGTAGAAACTACTCTATGGCCTAGTCTTCGCAGCCGAGGTTTAATGAAGGGATACAAGGTTTAGATAAACCTTCCTTGGAGATCGATCAAGGATCTACACCAATTACCCTGGCTTCATTACACTACCGTACATATCCCGGCCAGTATGGGTTTATATGCGGAGGTCGAGTGAATCCGGCTGGACTATCCAGAAGGCAGTCTTTCCCCGCTCCATGTGGTATGATGCATGACACCGCAGAAAATATGAACATACTTGTAACCATCTTCAAGTGCTTATCTACACTCTGCAATGCATGGTGTGCGCCAATATATCTGTTTCTTGGGGAAACCGTTACGTATCCCCATGGCCGGAAGAGCTGTCTTTTGTTCCCCGGGTGAGCCGACTAGATGGTGGTAACAAGGCCTTGTGGATGGTGGTAGAGCTCTTGCGTTCATACACGGGCTCTTTCGTTTGAGGTAAACAAATTTTTCGGTCCCTCCAGGCTTGCTAGGGTGGTCTAATGCCGACTTGATTTGCCGGGAAAGTTGTGAGAGGTTTAGGTTACCCGGCCTATATAGAGCTTAGCGAGTGATAACTTATGATCTATGAATATTTTCATGTGGATTTCGTTGAGCTGGGTGTTCAGCTAAGTTTATCCGCTGGCAGTTGGGTAGGAGTATCCTGTAGGTGTATGGATATACCGAGTATGTAACGTGCGATTTAAATGTGATTAGCTGAGTTCAGAAGCTTTTTTCTTGAATTCAGATATGTATTGATTTTCAATGTTTGGATCATGGAGGAAGCTGACCAAACGCTCTGCCATTTTCTACCATATCTACAAGGAAGCTAGAAGGATTGGGGTTAGAGGAACTAATCCCATAAGGAATGATAAATTTAAAGCTCATTTGTATTATGGGTTTTTATCATGTACCCACGGTGTCGGAAAATGATGCACATTTGGTGATATCTCAATTAACGATGAGAGAATTAATCTTCACATAAGTCTATCTTGAGGTCAATTCAAGTGTGCAGATTCTTTTCTTAATGGGGGGATAAAAAAAAGGGGTCAGTCATGAATATCTGAGTTCTTTACATGTTTAGCTATCTAATAGCAACTTCTTACCTGGAAAGCTTGGTTATTTTACATTAAAATACCACCAAATATATTCTTAGACACTGCAGAGACACCCCGCACCCGAAATTGGAATTTATGGAGCGTGTTGCATTGTGATATTTTGGGTAATTGGGCGTTGTCAGGCCAAAATATACATCACTTTCCAACACCCTGGGTGCAACTTATGTAGATATTTACTCCCTGGTAAGAAAACACGATACATCTTTGGGTACGGACTGCAATAATCTCAATATTATCTCGACTCTCACACACTCCTAATCTTTGTATAATAGATAATTCAATCCCCAGCATCCACGGCTAATCTAACTACATGTACGCTATTACTCCCATCCGCATAAATCTCATTACCATCTCTTCAAAACCCAAGAAAGAAAGAAAAGAACAAGAAAAAGCCACTAAAAAGTCCACAAACACTTGTACGTGAGCAGCCTCGCCCCTAGCATATCATATTCATTCTGCCTAATCCAACTATCATTTGTGCCCCTCAACTTCCCAAACACGCTTGCCCCCTTCCACACAATCACCTGCGGATCTAGCTCTCTCGGCGGCACTCCAATAATAATCTGATAATCCTTACTGGGCTTCAGCGCCCTCACCTTCTCTTCAAGCATGTGATTGAAGCCCGAGACCAGACCACCGCCGCCAACCACCATAATCCCGGACAAGAAGTCACGAATCTTCTTCTCCTCGCCCTTAGCGGCATGCGCGATCGACTCAACAATAGCGCGGTCGAGCGGCATCACCGGGACGATCTTGTCGCGCTCCTCAGCGAGCTCGAGGGCCGAGCGGCCACTGCCGTTGTTGGGGGCGCCGACGGAACCGCCGCCGCCGCTGTTGAAGATGAGCATGCCGGGTTGGAGAGGTGTTACGGAGCCGGCGGCGTTGGGCGTACCTTCGGGGACGGGGGAGCCGGCGGCGGAGGAGCGGGGGGTGTCAGTGGTGTTGAGGTGCATGCCGAATGTGCTGGGGAAGCCGGGTTGAGCTGGGCGTGCGGGAGTTGTGAGGGAGGGATTGAAGGAGGGTTCGGGGGTGGGGGGGCGTGGGGCGAGCGATTGGAAGAGTTGGAATTGGGCTGTTGAGCCTGGGTCGTTGGGGTGGCCGTCATAGAGGTCGTATGAGCGCTCCCAGAGAGAACGGCGGCCGCGGAGCTTTTCGGAGTGGTCGAGGAGTGTGGGATTGTAGTGGGTCTAGTAAGATATTAGTAGTGGTCTAGTTAGATGTAAGTGAGACATACCAGTGGAGCTAGCATAACTTCATCGTATGTCTTGAACGAATATTTTTTAGTATCGTTGTCGGGCGTTCGCAAATGGAAGTCATGCGCCTGCACGCTGATATCCGAGTCATTGAGCGTGGAGTATTTTATTTTCAGCTCCTCAGCCAAAAGATAATCATATCGATGCCATAGATTTATCTCTTGGTACGGGAAGTTGTTCGATAACATCATCTGCAGCAATGCTTCTGTTACGTCCTGACCACCATATTTCAGGTTCAATCGTGATTCTTGCACGCACATCCCTTCTTCAACACAGCAGATTGAGGTTTTCTGCGCGCCAATATCCACGATACAGGCTTGTGAGTAGCCAGCGCCAAAAGAGGCGGCCAATGATTCCTAGTGCATATTAGTCACTATTAACCCTAACCCTTGAGACGAGTGATAATACCTGTATGATGCAAACTTGCGAGAACCAGAATTCCTTCAACAGCAAATCTAGCATTTCCGTGACATAATTCTTTTCATACAGATCCGGAACTACCAGTACGCAAGAATACGTCTTGAGATCTTTCTTTTCGAGCTTGAGCTCTTTCATGATCGCATCTTCAATAATTGTAGATACATCTTCGAGGACCCGTCTTTTGGACTTGTAATCGCGCTCATTGAAAGTTCCGTACCTGATTGGCCAGAATAACCTGTACCGAGGGTTTGAATTGTCTGGAATCCTCAGAGCTTCATGGCCGACAAAATATTCACTCTTTTTGGTCATCTCCGTCCAGTCAACACGGTATGGATCGTTATGCTCTTTGATTATTTCCGGGGGAGTACGACGATTGTACGAAAGAACGAGATCTCTAGAGTTTGGTAGAATACGGCGTTTATTATGTCGCATGCGGACTTTAAGCTCATTCGACATCTTATTAAACTCCGTTTCAAACTACTCCCGTCAGCAACCGAATCCCATCCGTTCATTCGCAAATAACCAGCACAAACCTCTTCTCCAAACATTGCATCGTCCGATTCGACCTCGTCTCCATCATCGTCCACAACCTTCGTCCTCTTGGGGCTCCTCTCTTCCTCCTCATACTCCGCCTTATTTGCGCGCCTCGCAATTACATTCGGCAAGCTCTTCGGCAACGCATCGTTCGCCAGGCCAATCCTTAGGTTCTGCGATCCTGGGTGGATCACAATGACCTTACTCCCGAGCGTAGCCTCCTCCTGCTCCTCCGCGGCCACATTGGCAGCTGCATCGTCGACAACAGCTTGGCTGTCGATATCCATCGCATTCGGGTCTACGGCAGCCGCAGCCGCAGCTTGTCGCTCCTTCTCAGCCAGCAATGCCTGCGCGCGGACAGCCTCCTCTTGCTGCTGGCGGAATACCATGATCTGGTCATCGCGCTTGAGATATTCACTAGTTTTTTTTGCTGCTGTGTTAGCGGGATAGGGTGGGCAGGCGGGGGAGAACGGACGTGTAGTAGTTCTTCTGGTTGATCATGGGGGTCATGGGCCATGAGTGGGTTCGGAGGTTATTGTCAGTCCGCTCGAGACCTTGCATGCGCCGTTAGAAACATCCTGCAGCTTCGTGATAATAAAACGTACCCTCCTCGCGCATGAGCGCCCTTCCCGACTTCTTTGGCGGTGGCATCTTTGGTTTTGCGGGCTGCAGCAGTGGGGCCATGGACGATGTTGCAGCTGCTATTGGGACATTGATGTCCATTGAAGGCGATGGAGCCCTCGACATTCTTCTTCGTCTATATCGTGGTTATGGGGGTATTCAATGGGTGGTGTATGGGGGCCCAACGTCAGTGGTAGGCGGAGTTGGGGTTGTTTGTTGTTTGGGAGATTTGGGGGAGCAATTCCCGAATCCCTTCTCGGCACAGCAAGTAAGAGCGAGTGGCTCTCGCGTTGTGTTGCTTTTGCTTGGCGGGAGGCTCATTTCTCGGTTCGGGCGGGGCTTAGTAAGGGGGAGTTTTACACGTTTCTCCTAAGCAAGCTGGCAGCTCTGCATCCCCGGGGGTTTGTTGCACTCTTTTTTTTCTCCTGACCGTCCAGCACGAGCCAAATAGAATTTCTACAGACATACAAACCAGAGCAGTACCCTCCTCGTACTGTTTGCATACTACATATTCGCTTCCTAAAGCTATACTCTACATACAAACCACCTAAAAGTTACTCACAGCCTTTCATCTCATTCACGCGCCATCATGGGAGCTTTCCAGAGCATGTTTTCGCGGTTATGGTCGAAGAAGGAGGTCCGGATATTGATATTGGGACTTGTGTGTAGCTCCACCAAGGAATACTGGGAGTACTTTTTGCTAACGGGCGGTCTCAGGACAACGCTGGAAAAACTACATTACTCTACCGGCTGAAGGTATGGCGATCGGAGTGGGGGGAGGAGGGGAGCTTCATCTAACAGGGTGCTGCCAGATTGGTGAAGTGGTGACTACGGTCCCTACAATCGGTTTCAACGTCGAGAGCGTCACATACAAAAACCTGAATTTCAATGTCTGGGTATGTTTGCTATATCCGCATATCCCGTTCAGCCATGTCCTGACAAAGCTAACAAATACCACAGGATCTTGGTACGAGACGGGCTCATTCCACCAGTAATCATGAAGATACAACGTGAGAACTAACACCCCCTCTTCATAGGTGGCCAAACCTCGATTCGACCCTACTGGCGCTGCTACTACGCCAACACGGCGGCTGTCGTCTTCGTCGTTGACGCCACAGACCACACCCGTCTTGAGACCGCCGCCGAGGAGCTAGCAGCAATGCTTAACGAGGACGAGCTGCGCGACGCAAGTCTGCTCGTGTTTGCAAACAAGCAGGATCAGCCCGGCGTCCTGGGTGCAGCCGAGATCAGTGAGGCGTTGAAGCTTCCAAGCTTGAAGGAGAGGAATTGGAGCATTTTTGGGTGTAGTGCTGTTACGGGTGATGGTAAGCAAGACTTTTTTTTGTTATCTGAAATGTGTTTGGCGCGCGCGGGGTTGTGGTGGAGATGGAGGGGCTTGCTGTGGTGATATATTGGCGAAGAAGAAGACAGACAAGCTTCATGCTACTTAAGAGTGAGATTTGCTGACGCGTCCTCCCGGGATTATTACAGGTGTGAACGACGGCATGGATTGGCTTGTGGTGCGTTTATCCCCCCCCCCCCCCTTGCTCTGGCACTCTGAGATCGTGCAGACTCGCTGACATTGTTATTGTTTGTTGTTGTAGACTACCGTCCAAGAGAACCAATAAACGCACCATCACCAGTTTTAGAAAACGGAAACGTATATAGTAACAAGACATATCCCCCCCTATTTCAATGTTGAGAGGGTTTGGTTGTTTAGTTAGAGTGCTGGACGGGTGGGTTGTTTCATGATATGGGCGACTGTTTGATTAATTGCTGGTTGCGTGTTTTTTTCTCTTTTTTTTTTTTTTTTTTATTTTCTCTTCATGCTGTTTTCTTTATTGAGGTAGCTTGTTTGTGTATCAATCCTTCGGGAGAAAGATGCTGGATGGGTGTAATGTCGTGTGGTGTAGGTCTTCTACTACTTATAGATATGTGATGTGCGGTAATGAATACCATTTTATTGATGAGGAAATCTACTAAGCATTGTTCTTGTACCCCTAAATCAATTTACGGTCCAACAATTCGCGTCTGGGTTTGAAGAGGCACTTGGATTACTAGTACTGATTCTCCTAATTAAATCAAGATATATGCCCAAAGATACGAACCCATCAGTAATCCCCATCCCAGCCGTTTGTGACACCTTTCTGGCCCCCATCCTTCTTTACCCATCACTACCGGCCTACTTTATCTACCCGATATACTCCCGGCAGCGCGGATCCAAGTGCGGGGAGCAGCCGCTCACCCCCATATAAAGCTTCATGCATGCAGTGTAAACACATTTAGAGTATCTGCCGTGGCAGATATCGATGTAGAGCACGTACGTACTCAACCTCCAAGTTTAGCCGCAGGGGAACATTGGCGCCTTGCAGGTCGGTGGTTTTTCGACCGAGGGCTTGAGAATTCGAGGTTTCTGCTGTGGAATTTGGAATTCTCCTGTTTCCCGAGAATCAACCAACTAATGTAGTCATGGTCCTGGACCCTCTTGCTGATATAAGTAGGTATCTAATCATGTTCTATAAATCATTGCCTTTGTAATCCCGCCGCTGAGCCAAGGATGAACTCGGAATCCGGCTAGGTGGGAGGAGCCTCAGGTAGCGAAGTGGAGGGGAGGAAAGGGTGGGGTGTCCATCATCTCACGCGTCATACCCGTGCAACCCTTCAATCAGTCCCTGCTTAGTGTTTGCTGGAGGTCTGGAACATCCATCATCCATCCTCCCTCGATGCCCTGAGCAAAACAAGTGCAAAACACAGGGTTCTAATTCTTACAAAAACCTTACACTCACAGATACCGGCTACATCCGTAAGCATTTCCATTGTATGTTGACAAAGACAAAGAAGAGAGAAGCCTCATGAACAGAAAGCGGCGGCGGGCGGCGACCGCTACCGCTCGTGGCCGCCCGATGTTTCTGCCACTATGTTGAATTGGGACTAGCGGAATGTGGGGGAAGAAACGTCTCCACATGGCACTTTACCGGTTCTAGCCTGGTCTTGGGTGGCACAGGGGCATGATATCATCAATGGAAAAATCCCCATTGGCCGGACTAGCCGTAAAGCAGGAAGGACAGGACGGGGGAGGATAGGTACACGATAATACATGTTGTACGGACTGCAGAGTACTTTACATCCCCTCCCACCCGTGATATTGGGCGGAATTCGGGTGGTTGATGGATCACGGAGCTTGGCTAAGCTTCGATGACTGAGTCGGAGTTGATTCCGGCGTCTTCGAGAGGTAAGTAGTGAGTAGTGCGTAGCTGGTGTTCTCAGCGTGTTAATTCTAGACTCGCCATCTCCTGTAAGCTGTTGAGGAGTGTTATGTGATGCATGTACCTCGACTGAGGGCGGTCTGTGTCTCTGGCCCTTGGCATGCAGCTGTCCGAAGCTTCCCCCCAAACCCCAACGGTATATATACGCCCCTACTTACCCACAACCTCAGCTCCATTACTTCTCAACGTAATTCTATACTTTATACAAACTAGATATTGAATTATCTTCTTTATACTAATACCAACCTCTGATAACAATCCAGCAGCAATGGGCCACTACAAGGACGAGGATTTCAAAGATTGTCCAGTCTACACAACCAGCAATGGATGCCCTGTCATGAACCCGCAGGCGTCACAACGTGTTGGCGAGAACGGACCTCTATTGCTTCAGGACTTCCACTTGATCGATCTATTAGCCCACTTTGATCGTGAACGAATTCCAGAAAGGTATGTCTTCAGCCAGCTATCTTTGTATATTCCCTCCCAAAGCTCAGCCCACTGACATTGTTCCCACAGAGTCGTCCACGCCAAAGGAGCCGGCGCCTATGGCGAGTTCGAAGTGACAGATGATATCACGGACCTTACTTCAGCAGATATGTTCAACAAAGTCGGCAAGAAGACCAAAGCTCTTGCTCGCTTCTCCACCGTCGGTGGCGAGAAGGGTTCTGCGGACTCTGCGCGTGATCCTCGTGGCTTCTCTGTAAAGTTCTATACGGAAGAGGGAAATTACGACTGGGTGTTTAACAACACGCCAATCTTCTTCCTACGGGACCCTGCGAAGTTCCCTGTCTTCATTCATACACAGAAGCGGCACCCACAGACCAATCTGAAGGATGCGAGTATGTTCTGGGATTATCTCTCAAACAACCAGGAGTCGATCCATCAGGTTATGCACTTGTTCTCGGACCGTGGAACGCCGTACTCTTACAGACATATGAACGGATACTCGGGGCATACCTACAAGTTCACGAAGCCGGACGGGACTTACCACTACGTCCAGATCCATCTCAAGAGCGACCAGGGGAATAAGACCTTTACAAACGACCAGGCGAACGAGATGGCTTCTGCCAACCCTGATCACCACACGCAGGACCTTTTCGAGGCAATTGCAAACGGCGACTTCCCATCATGGACCGTCTACGTCCAAGTCATGACCCCCGAGCAGGCCGAGAAGTTCAAGTACAGCATCTTTGATCTGACCAAGACCTGGTCACAACGCGAGTACCCACTCCGCCGCTTCGGAAAGTTCACCCTGAACCGCAATCCTGAGAACTACTTCGCCGAGATTGAGCAAGCTGCCTTCTCACCCTCCCACCTGGTGCCCGGCGTCGAGCCATCCGCAGACCCTGTGCTCCAGTCCCGCCTATTCTCATACCCCGACACCCACCGCCACCGTCTCGGGGTCAACTACCAGCAGATCCCCGCCAACCGCCCGCTGCACGCCTTCAACCCGTTCCAGCGTGATGGCCTAATGGCAATTGAGAACTACGGCGCGAACCCGAACTACCAGTCATCATTCCGGCCAATCACCTACGCAAAGGTAGTCCCCCATGAGGCGCACGAGAAGTGGGTAGGCACTGCGACAAACTTTGCCTTCCGTGTCAACGACGGTGATTATGAGCAGGCGAACGACCTGTGGAACGTCCTTGGCCGTACAGAGGGGGCGCAGAAAAACTTCGTCCACAACGTGTCCGTGCATCTGTGTGCGGCACGGAAGGAGGTTAGGGAGAAGACGTATGGCATGTTCGATAAGGTGAACAAGGACCTAGGCGAGAAAATTAGAACAGCGACGGAGATGAATGTGCCGGATGCTGGCAAGGTCGAGAGTGTGAGTGCGAGGTTGTAGGTGGTTAGTTTTTTTGTCTCGTTTTTTCGGTTTGTGTTTTTTGCTAGTTTAGGGTGTCTTTTTATGGGTGTTATGTATTGTTACGACGTTATGTTTGCGGTTGCTTGTAGGGATGGTTTTGATATCTGAATGGAATATGTCGTTAAACCTATAATATTTTTTTTTTTTGAAAATTTGATTTTGTGATAAAACTTGAGTATCAGATGGCCCAAGACCCTTTATGCTGAAAAGACCTCTCGCCTCGGCGTTGAAATGCCAATAGTCAGCTATCCAGCTCAACGAAATTGACCGCTCCCACTACCCATAAGTCCATTAAGGGTTGATGGTTATCTACGGTTTTTGTTTACTTAGAAAGCTCAGCTTCTGCCCTACAACTTTCTGATATCGATACATTGTATCTGGTATCTCCAGCGGGTATCAGAGCTTGAAGTGCTGGCCCAGGTAGAGAGACTCAACAACACGATACTTGTAAAGGTGTTAACAGCAATAGGGCGGGCCTACATTTAAAAGAGTTAGAAATGATGCATGGGAGACATATTTTTGGTATAAAAGTCCATTTCTTACTATCTAATAGTTTATAAACTCGGGCACGACAAGTGTTGATCAGATTGTCAAAGGTTTTGCAGCTTCCTATATCTGTCTTACTTACACCCACAATTTTGTACACAAGTGTCTGATATGACTAGAGTACAGAAGCAGCTGAGCCTATTAAAAGTAAGTTTTGTGTGATTAACCTATTAAACCTGTGAGGTTACTTCATACTAGTGCCTGCTGCACCGATTCGTTCCGGTTACACGCCCATACAAAAGCCCGTTTTAACAAAAGCAATGGAGGATAACTTGCCTTTTGTGATGCCTATCCTATCACAACTCGTTTTACCAGATGGATTTATGGAAAGGATCATGTAGGTACGAAAGTAGCTTACATACCTATTCCAGGGGCCAGGAATTGTGTAGGTACCCGCACTGGACACTTACTGTGCAACTTCTATTGGCCCTATCAGTGAATAATACACCCACGCGTTAGAGTTGTATTTTCGGGTACTCGCAATTTCACAGCGTTTCCGGACGCAACTGCTATTGCATACACAGAAAAAACCCGCCAAGGCTATCTTTTGTATGGCATGCAATAGTGGTCGCGTCCGGAAACGTCAAAAAACTACGAGTACTTGTTGCCTGTCTCTGTACTAGCACCTACAACACCTACTTGTGTCTTCGCCAAGAACCCCAACCGTTCTTATGTAATTCGCCAAGGCGAGCCTTATGAGGAATCGATCACTGGACCACGTCTTTAGAAGGTCGCCCCCCGAGCATCTGTTCTTAAGCTTCTTCTCCTCCTGACATCTTTCCTCTTTGTTGTTCAACTTATCAACTCTGATAGGATGCCGTCGCTTTCTAACGAACCCGCACGCTCTCATTCGTCTGCTGGCCGGATCACAGCCGGCCTTTTGTTATCGTTCCTAGCACTATCTCCGTTATCTGCTGTACTAGCAGCGTCTCCAGATCCGTTACGGGCTACACATATTACTGACAATATATTGGGTCCTGGACCGTTTATCGGCGGGGGCCCTGGAGACGGTGGAGTAATTAGGGGGGGAGGGGCTCATACCTTTGTGAGTTTCCCCGAGTTTCCCAGAGCTCTATCGCGTAGCTTAAAGCTCCTGAAAGCTTAATACTTACAGTAATCGTAGACTCTGCGCCACATTCTACACCACGGTGCTGAATTGTATGGTTTCTTACAAGCTTCTTTCTCCGGAAATCTCTAACGCGTGCATATCTAGATATCCCTATCAGCTTCGCAGGCTCGATATTCATGAAGATACCCTGGTTGCTACCGAGGAAGATCCCCAGCTCAGGCCGCCCCCAAGATTACAAGCAACCTCGCGGTCCCGTAAAATAACACGACTTGCGGATCGCTCTAAAGATACTATCGAGAATTATCTATGGGCACAGCGTGCCCATGTCCCGACTACCTTTTCTGCCGATGCTTGGACAAGCGAGGAAATCCCACAGCCCAATATAACCGATAAAGCCACGGTCCTGAGCTTGGCACGTATCGCACAAGCCGCGTACGTTGAAGTTGAAGGCGGCGATGGTTGGATGGATGTTGGAAACCAGTATAACGTTACAGGCGACTTTGGTTGGGAGGGCGATGGTTTAAGGGGGCACATTTTCTCTGATGAAACTAATTCAACAATCATCATCGGACTCAAAGGTACAAGTCCTGCCGTATTCGATGGTCCGGAGACCACTACAAATGACAAGATAAACGATAATCTCTTATTCTCGTGCTGCTGCGCAAGAGTCTCAAGATGGTGGAAGACGGTCTGTGACTGCTTCTCTGGCACGGCCTACACTTGTGATAATATATGTCTGAAGGACTCCGTCACGGCAGAGAACCGGTACTACCGTGCTTCTCTTAACTTGTACTACAACGTGACGCAGATGTACCCCAACGCAAACGTCTGGCTTGTTGGTCATTCTCTCGGCGGTGCTGTTTCATCTCTTTTAGGTCAGACGTACGGGCTCCCAGTTGTAACTTTTGAAGCCCCCGGTGAAGCTTTGGCTGCCCAGCGTATAGGCCTTCCCAAGCCACCTGGCGATCCCAAGGGGCTAAACGGAATGTCAGTATTTCATTTTGGCATTACAGCAGACCCAATCTTTATGGGAGTTTGTAATGGTCCAACTTCTGGTTGCTCTATCGGAGGATATGCCTTGGAAACAAGATGCCACGCCGGATTTGAGTGTGTGTATGATGTTGTGTCCGACTTAGGCTGGAGGGTAGGTTTAGGATACCACAGGATTCAAAGTGTCATTAAGGATGTCATCGAGGTTTACGAGACGGTTCCTGAATGTATCTTTGATGACGGCTGTGTCGACTGCTTCAACTGGAAATACGTCGAAGGAAATGATACCCAACCTACCACCACACGTACGACAAGTGTACCTACAAGTACCAGTACAACTACATGCACATCACCTGGATGGTGGGGGTGCCTAGATCCAACAACAACTATCACGACGACTACTAGTCCACCAACTATTACTACTACTACCACTACAACAAAGCCAACCACCACTTGCACTCGTTATGGCTGGTTTGGAAATTGTCTCGATCCCTCACCAACGACAGCGACAAGCACATCCACTGCTTTCATCACTATCACAACCACTTCAACATCAGTCACCACTGCCACTGAAACTTGCTCCCACTATGGCTTTTTCGGAAAATGTCTAGATTCCACTACATCAAGTGCAGCCAGCGCTACACCTATAGTTACACCCCCAGTGGAGACATGCAAAAAATATAATTTCTTCGGAAAATGTGCTGATCCGGTTGAAACCGACACGCCTACTAAGACTACTAAGACCATGGACCTACCACTACCAACTCAGAGTGGCAAGAATGAGGAAGCTCAAAGCTGTATTAAGAGGGCGCTTGGTGGATTTGGATGGTGTGTCCAGTGGAGTTCTGCGAACTCTGAGGCGGAGCTCTGAGAAGTCACTGCTTTACTAGGCCCAGGTATCCACTTTATGCGTTTTGATTGATTATGAATTGGCGGTGTTTTTATTCTTTTCGGCAAGGATGTTTTTTCCGCTTTGGTATTATTATTCTATATATTTTAGTGCATATCACGGGTCTGTGGGTTTGAGGTTATCTTTTTTATGGCAGGAAGCATAGCCATCTCTATGTCTCCATTGAAGGCGGAGCATAGTTTAGATGATACTAGTCATTGTACTGGTTGTGAGCTTTTATTTGTTTTGGAGCACGGTCATTTCTGTTGGGTTATATATCCGGCCAGTCGTTTCGTCGATGGTTGATTATGCGGCACGTCATTGGGTTGTATTTGGGATGCTTTTGATTGATGAAATTGGCAGTTTTGACAGTGGGCGGTATATGATATGAAGTTTGAGTATTTGTGTATTTAAATCGATTCGAAATAGTATGCATTTGTTTTTAGATGCCTTTTTATCCCGACCTTCGATGAGTAAGTAGTATGCAATACCTTGTTGTATAATTGCTTAAAGTATCCATTTAAAAGGGTGTATGCTCGATTTCTGCTTGGTTCATGAGCACTTTTTATGGTGTAGTGGTTCAGTAGAGTAAACCGATGCAAAGCTAAGTTTATATAATGGGAAAATTGATCCGGATCGAACCCCGAATCACCGCGTAAGTTTTTTATCATGAATGCCCTGCATGATATGTATGTAGATCATAGTAGCCTTTTTCCCTTTCCCCCTCTATCAACGAGGATCTCCCTGTCCAGTTGGTGTTACCACTCGTACTCGGAGAGTAAAATATTCGACCTAGCACGGCCGGCTTCTCCCGTCAGTAATACAATATATGTACATGTAATTATAGCGGTGACGGAACTATACAGGCCTAGGGCACGAACACATAGGTTTTACAAGGTTTTATTGATTCGTTTCTTTTTTCTTTCTTGATAGCTAGCCGCACTGACATAAATACTAATTCCTTGCCAGTGCAGATTGTGTTGTACTTTCGTTTTTTGGACGCTCTCTTAAGAGGTTAATTGGTGATAGACGTGCACGTGGATCCGGAGGGGGTCCGCGGAGATACGTTTTAGTGGGGTTAGATGCTAGAGTACATGCTGATCCCCTAATTAAGGGACTACTTTAGACGACCAGATCAAAGGAAGGCTTCCATTAATTACAAAGCTTTCGAATCTCGTTTGACCGTTACTTTTTCTGTTATAGCTAGGAGATACATGTTGCGGGCAATACTACTTATTATAATTAGTAAATTTTGTATAGTCTGAAAACGTATGCGTATCAGTTTGTCCTATTACATACATTATACTAGATGACATCCTCATGTGGATAACATTCTGGAGGTGATCGAATCTGAAGCTTTTGAGAATAGGTTATTAGACTCTATAGTAAAGGACATCAAAAGAGCAGAATATCTTGCTATTTGGAGGGGGAGAAAGACTTAAAACCTTGTATCTACATAGCTATATCTTTAAGGTTTTATGGTGTTGTTTTGATTATTTGATCACAAAGTGTGAAGCTCGCAAGTGGAAGAAAGGTGGATAAGTTTGGTAGAGACATCTGAAAGCCTACAGACGCTGAAAAATACCTACGAAATATCATCTAATTACTTAATTACATTATTTACACTCTTTTCTATACATCCTTGACAACAATACTCCAATATCGGTCTTCACGCGTCCTGCGCGTGAGAGGACCTCTATGCACCGACTAATGACAGACAGACCTACTCCCAACCCATACTCCGCCCAGAAGTCAACATTATATATATACGATATTCCCCCAAATAAATTTTACACAGCACGGAATAACAACCACTCTATAATACCCATATTCGCTCAAAACAGAACTCCATATCTTTTCTCCAATATTCAATCCAGCTCAAAGATCTCACGCTCTGCATTCTCTACACCAAGCCATCCAAGACAGATGTTCTTACACATGTCACGCGGAGAAAAATAAATAGTGTAATTCGTAGTCGTAGTCTTTGTAGTCGTAGTCGTGGTCGTAGTCGTGCTATTCACACCCATTGCATAAAAGGGAGAAGTTTGACCTGGGTGAGCACTACCAAGACCGTGCTCTATCCAATAAACGCGTTTACATTTCTATGGATGATGTTAGTTCTGTACAAAGAGGAACTGGTCAAAGAAAGAAGCCCTCTTCTTTCAAAATACCATATCACCTCATAAGGAATCTAATTTGTAGTGAATGAATTGTAGTACTTACGTCCCTCTTCCCCTTCCTCCACATTTTCCAGCCCTCAAACAGGGCGAGGACGCCAGCGACGGCAGATATGATCGCGACAACTAATCCGATGATGCTCAACAAATGGTCCGGTGGTGGATGTCCTTGGTTCGGGGGCCCTCCATGTGGATGTATATGTGGTAGTGGCATAGAACCCGTATTTTTTTTTTACTACAATCGAAGGAGGAGCTCGAGCGTGACCGTGAAAACTGGTTGATCTGTAATACCGCAATACGATATTGGAATCGAAGATGTAGTTCCATTGAATCTGGGTGGACGGTGGTATTTATCTGGAGTATGTGGTATTTCCGTCTATTGAGAAGGGGGAAATATGACAAGAAAAATCTGAAAATACTTGGGGAACAATAGCAGAGCAGGTTCGTTACTGAGCACTAGCACTGGCAATAGATGTCAACAGGGATCTGCCATATGTGCGAATGATTTTATATGATCTGTGGCTTATACTCCACGGTGAGGCCGGCGCCGTGTACTACGTATGTAGTTAGGTACACTGATAATATTATTTACTTAAACAAAGCCTTGTGATAACCTTTCCCAGTCAAGGAGAGAAAAGGTAAATCTCTGTCTAGGAGTCTGGTAGGAAAGAAAGAATACCAGGCCTATCCTTACATAAATACGCTAGTTAGTACTACTCCTATACTACAAAAAAGAAATTACGCCGCAACCCCAGTAATATAGTAACCATCCCGTGCATCCTAGAGCCTCCGAAAAAGGATCACAAAACTTGTGTAGTCTCTTGGGAGGACGTACGTACACCTACCCACTAGGACGGGGCTTGCCGGACCGCTGACAGGCGCTCCAGGGGGGGTGAGGGCTGATTACTGGTAAACAAGGATAGACCCGGCCCAGAATGTTTCTGTGTACCTGCGAAGCAAGAATATATGTCTAACTACATGTACCCCGTTCAATGTATATATCGTTGGGTATTAGGCGAATACCTAAAGTTACTGCACCCCAGGATAGTCTCATCCTGGACAAAGGCTATGCCAAATATTCGTCTATCTTCACCCAGTACGTCTCTGGAGACTCTGGAGACTTTTGTCTAGCTGCAGCTGTCTATCAACAACCACGGCGTAAATAAGCCATTGCAGTGGTCGATCGAGGCGATAGCAACCAGGACCCTGTAGAGGTAAACATCGTCCCCTTCCAGATCCTTCGGACTATTGTGTGATCTAGCCTGCATATATGATATGTGTAGGGCCTAATGAGTACTTTATAAGAGCTAAAGTCGACAAGTGAATTGATCAGAGCGGCCGCGGCCGGAGAGGCCGGTCTACCCACTATATGAGACTCTATATAATTACAAGCACGACACATATTTAGCACATATACTTGTACGAATCAGACGACTGAGACTGAACCTTTTAATGGATGTCACTACCAAATGCGCGTATCGATTGGCGAGAACGATATGTGCATTAATCGGTAGTTATTGTATATCTACCCCGAGTCGCCCCGACAAGCGCAAAAGCCCTAACCCCATAGTTTTCCTCTGCTATGGGGCTAATTACAAGCATACGGTATGCATGTAATTTAGTGGAAACTAGGTTTTGTCTGACAACCACTTGGATGGAAATTCCCCGGTTGCCACAAGGGTCAATTGGAGAAAAGATAGCCAGATGTGCTTCTAGAAACGCGCATGGCTGGAAGGTCATATGTACTCGGGGCAGGTAAAAAGTACCGGACAATGCAGGTTTTTGGTTCACCAATGGGTGCGCGTGCTAGGCGTGAACTACTGCAAAAAAAAAGCCCAGAGACAAAACTTGCATTGTCCGGTACTTTTTGCCTGCCCCGAGTACCTAAACCTAAATCCACATCAATTAAGTGCCAAAACCCGAAAACCAAAACCTGGAATGATATCTGCTTCGATGGTTAGACTCCAAGATACCCACCTTTCTACTGATCGATCTTTAATTGTGTTCCACTCATGCAAAGCCAATACTGAACCGTTGTTAGGGTTTCAGACCTGTTGCATACGCAAGGTTGGCTATCAATTGCGCACAACGTGTCAATGACTACCGCAAAGACAAGGGGACGTGAGCGGGGTTCGTGCTCTTGACCTATATATGGGCACCGACGAACCAAGAGCCATTGGTATGAGTAAACTGGATTGTGGCTTGTCTTATCTCTTCAGCGATTATTATCATTAGTACAAACATGAATCTACTTACCTAATGTGTAACCAGATAGAATCTATTTTCGCTAGCAAAAAAAGAGTCAGAGCCCCTTGTTCTAGAACTGCTACGCCTCGAAAACATGCAACTAAATATCTTTTAAGGCTGCCTATTAACGCCCCAAAACTAGGAATGTCTTTTTAGTATCCTGTTATAACCTTGGCGCACGCTTAAGGCAAATAATATCTAGACCCCATTCATAAATGGTCACTCGTAAAAAGAAGTAATTCGAGTGAGAGTTCATGATCCTGCTTCACACGCACCTATTTTCATCTAAGGTGCCCAATCAGAGTATTATAAATTGATTGTAAACAGGGAAATAGCTTCATTTATCAACCTCGTTAAGCCTAGGAATTTTACCGAGTGCAGTGATGGCGGGTCGGAGCTCCGACGTCTCTAACACGAGACCACTCGAAGCGAGTATAGACAAATGGTTCGAGGTTCTCTGCTTTTTAAGGGGTGTGCCTTACTCTGGTCGAGCGAGGAGAGGAGATGCCTCGTGATTTTCGGGTCAATCCAGATAAATGCGGACTATTTATATCTAGGAACGTTTCGATGATATCAAAGTACTTATGCTCGGCACTCTAAAACTTAGCAGCAGTACAATAACCGTCTTACGCACAGCGATTTGTGTTGTTCTTCTCCTAATATAGGGGTCACGTAGTTGGTAATCTAGTAATAATTCTGGGGTTCTTGTAATATACGTTTTTTAGATGTTGATACCAATTGGTTAGTTAAGGCTCGAGCAGGAGGACTCGGCTCAAACATACATACCTGTCTCGTACATCCATGCCTTGACTTCGAATTCCTCGAGCGGCTATAGGCTACAATGTCTCGTGAACCATACTAGGTCACCGTCGCCGTCACCGTCACCGTCACAGCGCCATTGCCGCTACAGCCGTAACCCGTGCGGATTACCAATCGATAAATATTGAAAACACCGCCCAGGATATTAAGTAGACATTGGAAGCCTTGCATAGGAGATTCTTTGCAGTGGGAAAACATTGGATCCGAATAATTTCGCATTGGACAGGATAGCTAGGATCCTATCTACCGCGTTCCGACACATCCAGTTGCGACTTTATAAACTAGTTTGACAAGCGAGATAGTAGTTAGGAATTTTAAGGACGATTTCTAGAGCCAATCAAACAGAATCGTTTGAGATATCCCGTCCAGTTCTCTCGGTCGACTCGCAATGTATTTCGTAAACTCACTCAAACCTCTTGCCTTGAACTCGGGATCAGATTCCTTTTGGATTTGATGTCGCTTCGAGAATTAGTTGACTATATAGTGTTAATGGCATTGTTCTAGGCCATATTGGAAGATCGGCCATATTGGAAGATCAGCCATGATAGAAGATTCTGCCGCGGCGAGGTAATCTTTCGTGCCATGGCAAGAGGAATTGATTTACCAGAGCAAAATATGTAACTAAAGATCGATATTAGCCATAGACATGCACTATTTTAGGGAATAATAATCAGTCGTTCCTGAGATAATTGTGAACGGGTCAAATGAGGAATAGGTCGATAAAAGCTGACAACAGATACAAGAGCGGACCAACTTCTTTGTCTTGACTAAGAATGGTTTTCAACTCTATTCAGGTAGGGTTAAAGGCTACCTTTCCCCACTCAATGAGTCTGAGCCAGGTTCGGCATTGTCCTAGGAACAACTATATTTATTCTCCTTGCTAATAATTTATCAGTTCTTGAGATCTTGCAAATAGTTGGTACACTGGCCCGCTCGGTCACGGTGGATGATGATCATTGCATTCACTCCATATCCGGTATACCAAGCTCCCCTTCCGCCGTTCCATCATGGCCGATCTTCCAATACAGCCTAGAATAGCGCTCACTAACACTATGTGGTAACAAACCAATTAGCAAAAAGAGAAAAAAAAAACTTATCACTGAACTACCGAAGGCCGGTGCTCTGTTCTAAGTCGTATCCGGGTTAGTCTCGTACCCAGGGGCTGTGTACGAGCTTGTATTCGCCAATAACAGGTAGGGATTTGAAGGAACACCGCCTTGTGCCACGATCGTTGGCAGCCTTGGCTCACAATCACTCACTCGACGGTTTTAGCTTGCCTTGTGAGGTTTTTTTGGCGGGGTTCTATTATATCCTTGATCATTATGACAAAATATTGGAAAAACATAACCTATATATACCCCAAAAAGGTGCCAAGGAAATGTTCTAGGCCCTCCCAAGTAACCACGGAAGATGGTCCTTGGCAAATATAAAATCCGCCCATGCAATATATAAACTTAATCCGGAGATTTCTCCCGAAAGTTTAAAATGAACACCTTGTTGATGGTGGCTTCCGAGCCCCGGAGTTATATGGTTATCACTATGTGGTCATAGTAGGAGATTTGGTGCAGGCTATGCCAAGAGTTATATGGGTATATAAGGTCCGCCTATTGTACTATAGTATTCATAAAGACATACAAGTCTCGTACACTTCACTTTACCTTCACAGTTTCCACCCATAACCAACATTCCTTTCTGGCGAGTGTGCCATGACTAAGCCCAGCCGGCCCTCTTTCCCACCAGACGAACGGGGATGTCAGGACTTTGCGCAGCAGCAACTCATTTTTGCGAGGATTCTTCGTTCTGTAGTTTTGCTTGTACAACTGTACCCAGGCAGTGGACTGTTTTTAAAGGGCTCAATAGTTGGGTGAAGGGGAGACTGCAATGAGAGTTTGAAGCCATAGCCGGAGAGGCCCCAAACATAAAACTCGGGGTTCTGTTGGCAGCAGAATCATCTCGCTAGGGAGCATAAGTGGTTTTGAAAGCCGATCCTCTGCGCATTGGTCTCCCCAGTTCCAGATGGTGTAAATGTAGTCGTGATTCCTTGCGGCAGGTAGGACTTCTGTAAGTAGACAGATTTCGAAATTTTCCACCTGCGAAGGACTTTTAGTAGTCGATAGGTAAAGGTCTCATTTAACGTTGTTAGATGCTCTGCTCTTTGTATTCACAGAATGATTTTTCTCGACGAACTGATGCAAACGTGAATAGCTTGCGCTACGAAACGAGGTAATTCAATGATGAGGGTGAGGGTGAGGGTGAGGATGATTACAAGAAGAAGTGGGAATCTTTACTACGGTTTGTCTCTGTCGGCCACGCACTCCCTCCCTTGATCCCGCTTGTCCTAATTTGTCAACCTGTCTAGGGGACATGCATCACAACGCAGGATCCGACGTGGGGAATCGATGAGATGCTCTCTAGGTTGCTGAGGAAGCAAACGACTTCTGACTACCTGTATAGTCAATAAACATGACAGGCACGATGTCAATTAACGGACCTAGATCAACCATACTATTACCCACAATCATCATTACATAAGTCCATCGTCACCCAGGGAGGAAAGAGATAAAAGAAAGAAAACAGAAAAATGATTGGGGCCGGAAACTTAAAACTAGCTCTGGGAAATCACCATTCGAGGGGTAATGATTTTTGAGCCAGGCCTAGGCTGGCGCATGTTCTTCCATACGCGACGTACGAACGGTCATTTCCGATTTTTTCCGATACTTTAAAACTCAATTACGTATTCTAACATATTTATCCCATGACTAAAGATTCAGTACGTACCAAAAATCTTCAAGTTCTTTTTCAAAGGAGGACAAAAGCAGTTCAGTTGAAATTTTTCCTAATAGGCCTAATTCGTAAGAACTAGCACATGTTCCAACCATTTTCAGAAACCTCACGATGAACGCCTATAACAGATCTAGAAAAGACGGCGGTTAAACGAAAGTTTCGTAAATGGAAGAGTTAATTTATATCGGCCCCGAGCTCGCACATGCAGGATAAAGAATTAACCGTAACTATCCTTCACCAATCTAACTTCGAGATTCTGATCATAATGTATTGCCGTGTGCTCTTACTGGGCCTTATATATATGGGATGAAGAGATAAAGAAACCTTTAAAGGGAACGTCCAATTATATTAACAAACGACCTTCCAACGCGCTCTGTACTTACGGAAGGGATGCCCAGTGTCCAGTAGGGCAGCTATAAAAGAGGAACTATAGAACCAGTTGATTACATTATAGGATATATGTGAACTGTGAACTGTGAACTAGACCCCCACAGTCTCGTAGATCTATAGATCCTATATATGCGCGGTGTCCTCTATTGAGACCCAGAGCATCGATGTTTTCTCCAGGCTTAAGATTCATTCCAATCCCGATATATAGATAACTGACAGTAGAAGCTGGGTAACCTACATGTAGCTACATGTAGCTATATGACGGTCATCTCTCTCCATATATTGTGGTAACAAGTCAGTAGAGCGAGTCGACCCGACCCTCGTTTTTAAAATTTTAGGTTGAAGTATATGTAGTTATATCGCTTGTTTGTACATGATGGAATTTATATAATTATTTCCTGCGACCTGTATATATATATAGAAAAGACTGACGTAAAAGCGGCTAGTGCGCGTAGTTTGCTTTCTTAATTCAATAACTATGACCATTCAATGGCATAGTTACCCATGCATGACCGAGCTAGCTTGGGAGCTCAACCATATTTCCTAATTTCTTATGTCAACACATGACATAAATGTTTTTGAATTTTAAGTATCGTAGGACACCGCTCCTCCACAACTCCTACTCATTTTCATCCCATAACGTCAAAACTTCAATAATCTATTGAGCTTACACAACTACACCCATTCACAGTCATATTCTCATTTCATCTACCCATTGAGATAGCACCACCACCATCACCGCCCATTCTCACTTTCATATTCACACCACACAATACAAGTACCCAGCAACGAAACTAAATCCCTTGTGTTTACAACTTTCAAGATCACCACCACCACCAACCTAGGCATTCAAGACTCAGCTCCAAATTTTCAACTACACTCCGCTTCCATCCAGCCCCCCAATCCCGACTCAAATTTTCTTACCTTCGCTCCAAACACAAACTCCCTCAAATCTCAAAATGCCTCGCGTCAAAGCCCCCAAACCCCCTCGCAGGTACAAGTACGCGATCCAGAGAGCCAATGGCGCTCCTCCTCTCCCTGCCTTAAGCAATGTCGACAGTCCCGTCTCAAAATCCCACAGTCCAGTTCCCGCCCCTCGAAGACTCACCCCGGAAACGAAAGTGCAGCCAGCAGCGCCTCGGTTCGGATTCTCGTCTCTCATGTCCGGGATTGAGAAAAACCCCGATACCAAAATGGCTTCGAAAAAACCAAAAGTCGGTCTCTCGAGCTCTAGCAACAGCACCAAGGCGACAAAATCTCCGTCCACCAGACCAGCGAAAGATGCTACCGCAAAAATCATAAAGAGAAAGCCTGTAGTCAAGACCAGGCCTGTAGTCGAGACCAAGCCTGTAGTCGAGACCAAGCCTGTAGTCGAGACCAACAAGTTGGCCAAAACTACCACCAGCAAAAGGAAGGCCAACGATATCAGCCGAGACGACTCATCCACCACAACCACGAAAGAGAAACCTGTCAAGACCCTTACCAAGGGCACCAACAAGCGAAACCTCAGTCCAGAGGTCGTACATGTACACGATAACCCCACACCACCGCCATCAAAGAAGGCGCGCACTCAAGCTGAGAGCCCGGTCCGCGAAACCTCCGTCCCAAAGCTCAATACCCAACCCATCGAACACCGTCCAAAGTCTTCAATTCCCCTACGCACGTCCGCCGGCACAAAACGTACAGCTATGCTGTCTCCTCCTCGCTCTTCAACCGAGCCACAACTGGCGATGACACCAAATATACATAAATCTTCCTCCGGAACTCCCGAACATAAGGCGCCACTGCCGGCGGCAACATCAAAAATAAACATATCCTCCAAAGCTCTCGAGCATAAGGCGGCACTGACTTACCGGGAGTCGTTTTTGGGACCTCTCGCTATGCGTTATGGAGCGAGTATGCGCGATGAGATGGGACCGAAGTGGGCGATAGCACTTGAAGGGAAAACGGAGAGCCGTTATTGGGAAATTATGTCCGGAGTGTAGTTCCCTACTAAATAGGTATGATTTTTACTCATCTCGCTGGTTTGAGTTTTGGCTAACATAACAACTTAGGAGTGTTTTGAGTAGCGTATATCTTTTATAGCTACAGGTGCCAGCATTTGGGGATATTTTCTAATAAATATTTCTTCTTTTCCTTCGTTTCTTTTATATTTTGTTTTAATATTTGCATCTCTTCTCTTTTTGTTAATTTTTGCTTGGTGCAATATCTTCGAGTGATAGCTCATGACGTGATTCTCGAGTGAGCAGTTGTGAGTCATGCACTGTCTTGCAGATGTACAGCGTAGATGTACAGTGTAGTTATATACTAGAGTGTATATATAAAATTAAACCATCAGATGAGGTCTTTTTAATCTCTAACTTATTCCTACTTGAGTGGATATCGATGTCTTTATTGGATTCAGGTGCCGTGAGCACTCACACCCAACATCGAGTTCTCATGAAACTTTTTGAGATCTATTATAATCAGCCTTTCTGTCTTAAGTCTCTTTTATTGGTTGTTCTTATCATATTTGGCCATGGGGGTACCGGACGGTCATTTGTGGCTGAGAGCGCTGCGTGCACAGGAATTGGGTGCCGAGTGATCATCCATGACCTAATTTCTCCCAGATCACCATCCCGTCGCTACTACTACGATAATCCTGATTCGGGTACCCACCTTAATCTCTATTCAAACTTACTCTTCTGATCATACCCTTTCGTTGCAGTACATATATACTCAGGCTGGTGACTCATGACGCCGAAATCTACTTCCTGCAAGAATATGTTTCCGCTACCACTTTTGTGTTCTTAACCCGTTTTTATTCTAAGAATCGGCCGGAACCTATTCTTAAAACAAGTGCATGTTATAATAATAAGCTACATGTATTTAATAGACACTCCCTGGTGGTAGAGGTGTTTGAATACCACTCCTAAATGAATGCCACAGCTAGCGGGCAAGACTTTTTGAATCTCCCTATCCGGAAGGCCACCACTGTCATAAATGTGCCGGTAATTAGTACCAGACACAATTCATGATTCGGTGACTTGCCCTACACCTCACGAGTAGGAAGCTTGCAGGTCGGAGGTCGAAGAATCGAAGGTTGTAAGGTCAGAGCTCGAGGGTCGCAGTCGTTAGCGCTCTAGTAGTGCAATAAAGCACTCTTTAAACCCTACCAATCACTGGCGTAAAGCTGTAGCCGCGGTACTCAGAACATCTTGCCTGCTGTGGCATTCATTTTAGTGTGGCATCCTAGATACATACAAAAAAAAATCCGTGGCATTTTAGTCATTTACCGGAAGAAAAAAAGAACAAAAGATTTTACAAAAGATACTGCAACGACTTATTGATCAGTGAGCGTTACTATCCCCACCCCTGGTTTGAACCCAGGACCTTTGGTATCCTGGGTAAACACTCGGTGTCTAACCCGACGAGCAGTCTAACCACTAGACCACTCGCCCATGGTGGATGCTGCGCTGGAAATGATACTTGAGCTTGGCAGTGTGCCAAGATGAAGCAGAACCCCTAACCCTTCGATGATAATGCTCGGCCATCCATAATTTTCATTTTGTGGAGCACACCTACCGAAAAGTGTGTCGTTTTAGACCATTTCCGTTATTTATATTTATCGACCTAAAAATCCTAGTTCATGATATTCCCACTTACTATCAGTACCTACTGACACTACCGCTACTATGCCCGATTTGTTGCCGGCACCAGGTGGGAACAATCGATCTATTACAGCCTGGCCGGTTGGCTGCATGCATTTCTAAGATCCAGTTTACGTACAGTTAACATGTAGCTAGAACTCAAGAAAGAAATCGACCCACGAGGTCCCTACCCCGTTTACAATCCCCTTGATCTTTTGCGTATGGCGAACCTCTTTAACTATACACTAACATTGTGAAGATACTTCGTACTCAGATCTTCAGGCAATTGCGCAAGCGGAGAAGCCATGTTGACGAAGTAGCTGCGTATATTATACTCTCAGCTGGCGGATATGGAAAGGGTATAAACCCCCCCCCCCTTTCTCCTTTTCAGATTTCTCCTCTCTCTCTTATACATCTCTGAAAGCTGGGTAGATGATTAACTCCTCCTCCATCATCAGCGCAGCATTCCTTACAATATACAGTCACGTGCTCGGCGCCAATCCCCTACAAGTAATTTGCTGCTCGCCGTAGTACCAACCAGCAGGAAATAGGAACGAGCTTACGCGCTATATAGTACGCGAGACATTGCGAAGGTTTACCCCAGAAACAAAGATAGAAAGTATGTTCGACTCAGCGTCAAGTGTATGGAGGGTCTTATAGTATAGCCAACCTTCTAGAACAATGGCCACCCGGTCTAGTTGGCCCACTCGAGATTCAGCTTACCCCTACCCCATATATTTGAGGTCTGTGTGCGGAACGTCGCACGACGGATCGGAGGCACCCTAGAACGGAGAGAAGGAATTCGGTAGAGTTTGTGATTCTAAACATGGAACATGTCTGAAACAGCTGACTTCTTCACTGTTTCAGATCAGGACCTACCGATCACGTATATTTTGCGGAGTGACTGTGATCCTGCCAAACCACCCGGATGTTGCTCTTTTTTTGTTTTTATTCTTCGTGATGCAATATTATTTTCTTCGAGCGGCTTGAGGAGGGAATCGGTGTGGATCCTGCTTTTTAAGGCTATCTTCCCATGGGATATTATTGCCTAGCGACTTATGCGAGTAAGTGACCATTTCTCATTATCGCCGCGGTCGTTGGGTGATATCTATGCCGTATTTATATCGGGCGATTCCTGCTTATAAGTTAAAGGTCTTAGAAATTACTTAGGTAGTCAGCTACCTCATGCGAAAATGTGGTTTATATTGAATAGTTTTTCTATCCTCTTGATTCGAGCTCGGGAAACAAAATGCCCCATAAAAATAAGTTTTGTCTCGCCGAGATAGCCGCCCTATCCAGACATTATTATTTCAAGTCGCTTAGCGCCTCGTATGTACACGGCCGTCGATTCGCCGTGTTGTCCCAAAACCGTTCTCCGAGCGAGAAACCATGACGCTGGGCTAGGGTTTCCCCCACCTGTAACCCCTCCAAAAACGTCATAGCCTCTCGATCTCTCCCTGACCCAAATCGCCCAAATGTTGCCCAATATCAAAGCTGTCGCGAAGACCCAGAAGAAAACCTCTCGTAGACCCCATATCGCAGTGCGCGTGCAAGACCACGATTCCATTCCATCGTAAGCCTGTAGTTGTTCTCGGTTGGTGAGCGCTCGAGCGCGGGGTGCCTAGTAGCGGGGCATTCTGCATGCGCAACCCAATTTACACCTTGTCGGCTCGATAGATCTTGCAAGACCACCATCCTCAACTCGCCTTCAACCAAGAACAGAGAACCCACCCACCCCCCGTCACAAACAGAAAAGATATTGCAATGGAAGGCGCCGAGCCACCGACTCTCCCCCCGCAGATGTTCACGACATCTGCGCAGCTGCTTGATCTCACCGATAGTGCGCACTCACTCCACGCCCACCCAGAAACAATAGCACTAGGCGACTAACATGTGCGGCAACAGAGAAACTACTGGTTGCGCTCCGCGATGGGAGGAAGCTAATTGGTGTCCTGCGATCGTGGGATCAGGTATGTTCCCCCAGCGCTCTCTCTCTACTAGTTGGTAGAAGGCCGGTTTGCTAAGTGCGCGGTGGTGGGCGGATTGGTTGCTGTAGTACGGTTGGTTACAAATTCAATTTTACACTTGATGGGTTTTGGGATGCATTGAACGGGGGCTGACCTCTTTTTCCTGGAATGCGCAGCAAACTTGGTGCTTCAGAGCACAGTTGAGCGTCTCTATGTGAACGATTCGTACTGCGACATCCCGCGCGGGGTGTTTATCGTGCGCGGCGAGAACGTGCTGTTGCTTGGGGAAATTGTAGCCCTCCCCCCCTCTCGCCTCCTTTTTATAATAGATATGTATGGTTTTCTGACAAGTGCATGCAGGACCTTGATCGCGAGGACGATATACCATTCCGGCAGGCGTCGGTCGAGGAGGTGTTTGCGGGGCAGAGACAGGCCGATGTGGAGAAGAAGCACAGGGACAAGGTGCACAGGAAGAAGCTGCGCGCATTGGGGTTTGAGGATGAAGGTGAGGTGCTAGTTTAGCACAGGGGACTATTAAAGCGAGGAAAGGTGGGAGGCGTAGAAGAACAGAAGAGAAGAGAAGAGAAGAGGGTGCCCTTGTTATATTAAACCCAAGGCCTAACCTCCGGGGAAAGCGATAAAAACGAATAGCAAAAAAACAAAATGTTTATGTCTCTAATGGATTGGATTGGAGTTTTGTTCGGGGGTTGGTCCGTTTTGATTTATATGAAAAAGGGAAAATTGCAATTGTGATAGCTATGGCTGGCCGGTTGTATTCATGAAAACCGTTCTACATAGGACCTGATTTGATAGTCTACAAAAGAAAGAACACATCCAAAATTCAAAAAGCAGGCTATTTCGTAGCTAATGCTTCCTTACGTTTTACTTCGTCTAGGATAACATCCACGGCCCAGGGCAGGATCTTACTCATGTGCATATCGACCTCTGGCGGCGATACGATGTTCTTTGCCTTCATTACCTCGGGGTCTAGGGTACCTGATACGTCTCCGTCAATGAAAAGATGCTTGTGAGCTTTCACCTGCATTTTCAGATATGTTAGATACTGCCCTCTCTGGATGACTAGGTGCTAGCAATGTTGATGGATAGGACCTTGAGTACTGTCGATATCGACATTGCTAGTACTAGTAGAGCTGTGATATAGAAGGGGTAACAAACGTAGTTTGGCCACACGATCTTGTCGAAATAACCTGGCGGGTCTTCCCAGAAACCTGCCACATTCCCAGTCAACGATGTTAACACCAATAAAGAATTCTCACAAGTATTGATACTACCTTCAATAGTGACATATCCAGTCCTAGCCTCTCTCCTCTGCTTTGCCTACACATAGTAGTATTACTTCAGTACCCCCCGCAACACGCAAAGCATATTCTAGTACAGCCAGCCATGATCACACATACCTTATCATACGGCGCCCTCAAAAACATTCCCAAATCCAACCTCCCCAGCACCTCCTCATCATGAAACAACAAAAACCCATCCACCACCGCCAACCTCACACGCCCCCCTCCCATCCCCGCCGCCTTTACCCTCGCCACACACTCCCCCACCACCCCATCCCCCACCCCACTCTCACCAACAGAGTTCTGATCCTCCTTACTCACCAGGTCCGCCGGTAGCTCGCCATGCTCCCGTACATACCCCAGCGCCTTCTTGAGCCCCACGAAATCGATGCTCTCGATACAGTCGTAGTCCACGTCGCCGTCGACGACGGGGAGGTCGCCCTCGGAGACGAAGAAGTCGTCTTGGTGCAAAATGAAGCTGTCGGGGAAGACGCGGCGGAGGAGGCGTGACAGCGTCGTTTTGCCGCTGTTGGAGAGGCCCGATAGACCGAGGAGCAGGGGAGGTGGCGGCGGGATGGCGGCCATAGTGTAGGGCGCGGGGGAGGGGGAGGGGTCGAGGGGATGAGTTGGGGGGGGGGATGCTTGGCGGGGTAGGTACTTGACAAGGCTGAGGTGTTTGATAGACGATTATTGATTACTATGCTACTATGATACAGTAATACAGTGAATACTTATATCTGCAGAAGGTTCAACCTTCCGCAGTAGGTGAGAATATGAGGATATAATATATATATATTCTCAGTTAGGATTTGAGACGATTTATTCGACCAAATGACATGACCCCGAGGTCATCGATCTAACCCGACGTCTAGCCCTAGGCTAATAAATCCATCATTCTCAACGACAGCGGCAACCATAAACTCTGTGGGTCACGCTGCCCACGTTTTTATTATTATTTTGTTTCTTTCCTCATGTGGATGCCAAGGCTAGATAAGCTTTTAAAGCAACACGGGTGATGCCGTGCGAATACCTGGTAATAATTGGCTATTTGCGGCATTTAATATTTATAGCTGCAATGGCGTTCTGGTTACCAGGGACTCATAAATGGGGAAAATATTTTGTTTGCATGACTTGTGGCTGCTGACTTTCTTGCTGGACCTGCATTAAGCTGTAACACGTTGGTTGATCATTGACCATCTACCATCGTGTGCATACACCTGCAGTATTGACATGCAATTGTACTCTAAGCAGTGAATACATGTAATCAAGGCAAATTTATGCGATGTTACTTTACGTCTCCCATTCATTCGTCAAGCAAGCTTTCTGTTTGATGAAGTTACTGCAAATCATAAAAGAAATTCAGAATTGCTCTTAGCAACAATATAGCTAGCTTCGGCCAAAGGCCGGACGCAACGAGTGTATCTATAAACAGGCACTATGTACTTTCAGTCTGAGGTTACTCCCGGATATCGACCTCCAGACAGCTATAACCCGCCTCTAATGCCCCCGAAGTGACCTTTCAGATAGAGACACCATTCTGTGTAGCAATTGTGAACCCAACAGCTGCAGGGCCAAACAGACTTGGCCCAACAAACTGCACTATCTTCATAAACAACCACATACCCACCAGGCCCATGATCCCCAGAAACACACAAAAGATGATCAACACCTTTGCGTTTCTCTTTTCCGACGATCCCCTCATCTCCTTCCACTTCAGATCCATGGCCTCGATGCTCCCTGCCTCTGTCTTTGTTGTCAATTGCGGGACAAACTGGAACTCAAAGTTTGTTAAGCCCCCCAGACCGTCGTTGCTGACGAGGATCTTGAGCATGATGCGCTTTGTTGTCTCAATCTTGCGTTTATCGAATCCGGGAAATATACGGGACGAATAGCCGATATAGCAGGCGAATATACATTGTGCGAAAACTAGCACCTTGCTGAAAAAGGGTGCCTGCGGGAGGCCAAGCTCGTCACACAGCTCGTTTCCGTTGAGCCATCTGGCTGTGGCGACTAAGAAGTCGGCAGATGGATACGAGGGCGGTGTGTTGGCAATTGAAGCAATGATATTTTGGGATAGGATCCTCGAAGTTTCTGATGGCTTGATGTCGTGGACGAGAATATATTCCGTGTAAGCCCTTGCTAGTTCAGGGGTTGCAAAGACGCTGTTGATTGAGTTAGTGACATATGCAAGCTCGTTTCGGTGTGCGGGGGAGTTTTACTCTGTAGGGCAGCCAACATAATATGCAACCAATCTCCAAAAAGCCATATAGTCTGCAACCCTACTCGCCAAAGATAATCAATAAAACCCTACAATATTGATAATCCATATCTTAAGGGAAAAACTCACTCTCGTCTCGTTGGAAAAATTCCTTGTTTAGGTAACGAAATCATCAAGATTGTCGCACTAAACGACAATATCGTTGCGATTGAATCGAAATCATTGATTGGCATCCCAAATTCTTCAAGATCATAATACTCCGGATTCTTCTCCCGGAGCTTTAATATCCTTCCACGAACCGCAGAGTGAAGAAGTCGGACTTTGATAGAGGACATGTGACCGTCCCCTCCGGGCTTTATCGATTCGAGGGACCTGGTGCACTATCATTTCCATCCCAATGTTAGAAACCAAACTAGTCATGACGTAGATCCCGTGCTACAGGGGTTTTCGTCCAATCTACCCTACCTGTAAAATATGTCTTGATAGAGTATCAGCAAATAATACATCAACGGCCCAGCACGCACAACACTGGTAGGCTAAACGAGAAACAAAGGGAATAACGTACTGCGTAGTCTCAAACATCCTTCGTTTCGCAACCGATTTAGAGAAGCCACCTGTACGGGCCAGCACCTCTGCAATCTTATGGGCGCCCTGCAATGCGATTTGTCAGTCCTGCATGACAGCCGTTGGGACGCAGTACCCTATCACGAAACAGAAAAACAGAACAAGGAAGATTGAACATACCATCCCTCCTAGAAGACTCGAATATGTCAATCCAGCCACTATAGCTATTGCATATCGATAATATACCTACACCACCACCACCACCACCTCACCACTATCAGCAAACCAATCCCTCTAGCTCTCCCCACCGTTTTTACCTCCACGCCACCAACATCCCACTAATTCCCCTCCCTTCAGAAAACAGACAAACTCACGTCTTGACCCCTTTGTATCTGCTCCCAATCGACCCATTCCGGTATCGTATTAACCTCTGTCCACAACTGGCCCAACACGTCATCGTTCTGATGCTCCTCCTTCAATGTAGTGTATAGATCCCTCTCTCCCTTGACGGCAACCAACCTGGCCAGTGACTCGTCTGCAAGTTTATCCCAACGGCTCCGCAGGGCCGCTGCTTCCTCATGGCTCGGGTGAAGGGGTGACCATTTGACTTTGTGGCCAAAATTCTCGTAGTACACTGGTTTCTCACCGCTGCTGCTGCTGAAGCTAGCTGCGATTTTGTGGATCCAGCTCATAGCTTCTTCTTTTATGTGTGTGTGAGAGTGAGAGGGAGAGGAACGTTTTATTCTAGGGATATCGTTTTTTCCTTTCCTTCTCTTCAGATGGGAACGGTTTTTTTCTTGTCTCTTGTCACTTGAGGAGGGTGGGGGGACCTTAGGGGATAAAAGGAAATAGGTATGCTGGCACGACGGTGAGGAAATGGTATTTGTTCGTTGCCGTCTAAATAAAACATGTGATTCATCTTATCAAGCTACCGCGTGCAGTAATTACCTACCGACTACTAGTATCGGCGCTTGTCGCCAGCAACGAGCTGGCCGGCTTGCGCGTATGAAGGGCACTTATGTGTGCCTCACACGGGTGAAGAGGGCAGCATTGAGTGTCCTCTCGGCAATCTTCGTTGAACCCGGAATCACCTTTTCCGATAGCGGGGTGCAGTTCAGTCGCAGTCAACCAGCCAGTCGTTGCGTCATGTCATGAACTAGAACCTAATAATACAATAATACACTTGGCCGGTCGGTTCTAGACCACCGAATCACTTTCCATGATTTCACACTTGAACGTATCATATGAGAGAAGAGGCACTTGGTATGTATATAATCCCGTCTGCACACCCTATAAATAGTAGGTAATCCGATTCTCACACAGGAAAGAGTAGGCAAAAACTACACATCCAAATCCCCCCCACTCACGAATGTCACTTGTAGTAGTAGCGTGCATTCCTCTCCAATCGCATAATCCCCCCTCCCTCCCCCCCCAATTCCCAAATTTTCAGACAACAAAACTCCACCCTCCCATGGTCACCCCACCCCCAGATATTGTAAAACTTTACACTTTGTACACCTGCCTCCCACCCCTATATAGAAATCCCATTGACTGAAGTCTTCGAAGAAAAGAAAAAAACAAAGGGAAAAAAATCTGTTCCGGAAAGTAAATAATCCTGTAAAAAAAGAAAAGCCCCGCCCCAGACCAAAAAAAGCAACCCAGAAGCTAGGAGAATTGAAATAAGGTAAAAAAGAAGCCCTGCCCATGCAAAAGACGCAAAGAAACTAGTGTACATTAAAACCCTAAGAAACGATTTAAAACGAAGGTATCTCCAAAGTGAATCAAGAAAAAGTGAGAGAAAGTAAAAGTCAAAAAACCAACCCAACGAACTGCAAAACAAAAAATAAAAGAAACAAAGTTGAAGCACACGGAACACCCCGTTTAAGAATAACATAGAAGAACCCAACCGAATAAAGACTGACCAGATACAAAACGCATGACAAATGAAATCGAGCTGAGGGTATTGGGATTAATTATTATCTCTTAGCCTTCTCCTGAGGTCTCTACCATCTTCTTTTTCCTTTCTCGCGTAAGTGGGGTTTTCGTTTCAAGCCTTTCGCTTACAATTGAAACTAAGCGCTCTGAATATGTATCCAGTAGTTGTGTCATCAGATCTCGTCCTGCCACATCTTGCGGCCCAAGGCTGCGGTTGGATGCATTTGATCGACCGCGGTTGCTCTTCCCCTCCCTATCTCCAGTCGCCCCCAATTCCTTTACAGTCAATCCTAACTCCCTCTGTAATTCCTTCAGCACCTCTGGGTTCACGCCCTCTTTGGCACCCGCGTCGATTTTCTTCCGGAAGCTTCTTAGACTTCGCGAAAGACTCTCGGCAAGCCCATTCATATTTCCTGCGCCGCCAGTGCCGAGAATTGGCGTATCAACACTTCCCACACTATGTCCCCGTACCCGTGTTCTTGTAGTAGAGCTTCCTCTACGTAGAGGGGTTGGGGCAGTTGGGGCCTTTTTCGTTGTAGTTGGGCTTGGTGTTCGATTTCTAATTTTTCGGCCTTCCCGTAGACTGGCTGGAGGGGAGATGCTTTTTCGCCCGACGCTTGTTCGTTTAGTGACATCTGCGCCGAAGAGCGGAGTTGACGGAGATGCTGAATCATCTGAAGTCGTTGAAGGTGTCGGTGTCGCGGATGATGCTGTTGAGACTGTGCCTGGTAATACAGCTGGTAGTGTAGGCACTCCTTTGGCACTTGTTGTCCGGTTCATCCCGTATGCTGAGGTCTTCCGCCTGAGTGTCCGCGGAGGAGATGTGTTGCCAGTGTGAGATGACGCGGGCCTACTAGATTGTGCTGAACCACCAGGCTTTGGGGCGAAGTCCATCAGCTCAGTCCTGCTCAATACACGTCGAAGTGGTGGTCTGGTTGCAGTCATTTCCTTCTTTTGAGAGGTAATATTTGCGGTTCCATCTGTATCTACAACAGTTGCTGGTTCGGGCTCAGAATTCTTTGGTGTAAATCCCCAGATCATTATGGTCCCATCTGACCCTGTACTTATGACAATTGTTTGCCCCGTCTCCTCCCCCTTCTGCGGTTCTCGTTCCAGCAAAACCACATCGCTGACTCCTTCAGTATGTCCCCACTCCTTGTCAATCAGATTTCCCGACAAATCATAGAGCCTTATGCTCTTATCCGTTGTTGAAATTCCTGCAAGGATTCTAGCCCGTGGAAACCCTTTATCCTTGCTGACCGTAACAGAATCCATCACCACAGCATCGCCCGACTCATCTGTCGCCTTGAAACTGCCAAACCCTTTCCCGGTATTCAAATCGAATTTCTGAATCTGTCTATCCATAGTCGAGACAATAAGTGTTGAATCTGAAAGTGGCGTCATGTGTACTGGCGATGCTTTTGTTGTAAGAGTCCTGACGGGCACATATGCCATAGTAATCGAACCATTAATAGCCTCTCGGCGACAAAGTTCTCTAATGACGATTGTTCTGTCCGCTGAGCAAGTCAAAAGTTTGTTTCCACTGTCCAATAGTAAAACTCTATTCACGCTGGCCGTGTGATCATCCAATGTCTGTGTCAATGTCCATCCCTCTGCATCCTTGTGAAAGACTTGTGCTGTTCGGTCTCTCGAACAGCTGGTGATAGTATCTCCACATATCGCAATGTCCATAATTTCACCGGCATGCGCTTTAACGGCATACAGGCAATCCTGGTGTTTACCGTCAATTACACTAGTCGAAACGTCAGCCCAGGGTACAAAAAAAATGTCCGGGGCCTTATAAAATACCGTAGAACACCATATTTATCACCAGTAACAAACATGCCGCCATCCTCTGAAACCCTAACAACTTTAAGTTCATTTGCTACGTCATCTTCACTCTCCATAGGTTGTTCAAGCTCAACCTGAAATTCTCCTCTAGTCACACCATCCAGATTCCAGAACAATACAGTACCTCCAGACGACCACGTGAAGAAAAGAGCGTCGGAAAAGCAATTCAGTGGAAGGAGTCGAACACCGAGGCAGGGATCGTGGTGAGCCGGCAATTCGCGAACGAGAGTATTCGGGACAGGAACGCCATCTACAGTAGACATGTTGATCATTTTAAGTGATTTGTTAGAATCTAAGGTAAATAAATGACCAAGCATGCTCGCCATGGCGAGTACGTGTGCGGGTCGAGATCCAAAAGGAAGGACCGGAGAACTAGAACGTGACGATGATGGCGATTCTGGTGGTGTCGAAGGTACAATCTCCTTCAAAACAAGAGCCCTGAAAATAATCAGTGTGCGTCCCTTGAACTCGGCTGGAGCGCTACGGACCGAATGCTCCCATGTCTGCCTGCCACCCATGCGAACTTTGAATCCGCATCCACGGTGATCGAACTGACACCAAACTCGGCGCTTGCGACCCTAGTGAATCTAAGCCCACTCTCGTCGAGCAAACAGATATCCCCCTTCTCCGTGCAAACTAAGGCTTTGTCGTCCGATATACCGACAACGCAGCTCATGGTCGAATCCGACATACTACCCAAAAGCGCATTTCGGCCATGCAGGACCTTTGGTCCTGGGTTAACGGGCTTTTGCTTTCTGGCTGTCAGCCTCAGTTGTTTGCGACTGATGGACAGAGATTTTCTCACATCTTCTTCAGTTCTCCAGATTTTGACATGTCTTGTTCCCACACTATCCAATTGTTAATAATCGTCTCGAAGCCGCTCGGGGTGTATGGATTACGGACGTAACAAGACTTTTTCCCATCCATGCGATCTGCCGTACAAAGCTTGTACATTTGTTAGTCGCGTGAAGGCGTACCAATCCGCTCCTGTTTGTGTTTAATGACCAGACGTAGACGAATCCGCTACAGATCCCCCACCAATTAGCTTAGGCCAGATCTTCTTCTTCGGACTGCAATTGCGATTGCTTACTCGTTCATGGTGCCTATGCTAGCTAAGTATCGTGAGCATGCACTGAAAGCCACGTCGCGCACTCCAAAGGTGTGTTCGGACATGGCCGCAGCAGGGATATCACTAGGTACATCCTTGGACATTGAAAAGATCAAAATCCTTGGGTTGTAACCAGTCTGCCGAGATAGATTTTTAAACTTTAGCATGGATAATCACTCGGTGACAACGAAGATCGGTGGTGCATACCTCTCCAACCGCAAGCCATTTCCCATCGGGACTAAACGATAAGCAGGTTGCAGCTTTTATTCGCTCACGAGCTGACCACGTCTTTGAGCTTGGTGAATCATCCTGGGCGAATGGTGATGCAGAGTTAGTATATTGGTAGCCGACTCCAGACTCTCGCAGCGACGCTGCTGTCCTATTTCTGGTCTCCTGGATGTAGCTAGTTGGTGTAGAAGGTGCAAATGAGGCTCCGGTAGAAGCAAGAGTAGGGGCGTTAGGTCGAGCCCTAAAGAACCGTTGGGTGATCTGAAAGTCGTCATCAAGGTGAACGACCACAGCAGCGGCACCCGCAGTGTAGGCAAAGGATCGTGATGGGGGATGGCTGTCGAACGCAGTGGTAGAACAGCCTATCACTCTTCTCAAAGAGAGACCGCAATCGGAGAATGGTGAGGCGGATGAGGCTGAAGAAGAATTCTGTCGGGATTTGCTTTGTGAACGATTGTTTGGGCGTGATGAAAGGAATACAGGGGAATTGTTGTTTGGGGTCGCAGTAGGAGTGAGTTTGAGGTTAGGAATACCTCCAGAGTTCTTGGAAATAGGAGTGAAGAAGCCTGACATTCTGTCCCTCATCACTATGAAGTCCCGAGACGTCAATGGAAGGGGACCAGATGAAGGTCGAAGTGAAGGGGAGGTAGGACTGAGGACAAGAAATTGGGCCGACGAAGTTGGAAAGGCCTAACTCTGCATCTGGAAGGGAAACCAAACAGTCTTGTATGAATGTCGACTGTCATGCACGACGCACAATAGAGTGAAGATGGACAACAATTCTAAATAGAATTGGGGGGGTGGAGGGAGGTTTGTGGGTTAGATACGTGGGAAATGGCTAGGGTCTAGTGTGATCGATGATGATGCAAAGTCTCTTTCAGTATGTCCGTCTCTCCGTCTCTGGGATTCTGGGCCAATCCCTCTTCTAAATTCTTCTGTCTCTCTCTTCGCACGTTTTTTCCGTCTCTCTTTTTCACTCTCACGCCGATAGACAACGTGTAGTTGAACTTAAGTAACCTCTCCGGGGTAGAATAAGAGCAGTCAGAGCAGTCCTGCAGCAGCACGAGACTGGTGAGCTAGAGTACCCTTAGCGGCTATTCGGTGGTTTGATCCCGGGTGATCTTCCTTTTTTTTTCTGGTTCTTCCTTCCCTTCCCTTTCTAAGAAAAATAAAAGTGAGGGGAAGCTGTATGAGGATGTATGAGGTACGTGTATGATGTTCAGTGATGTAGACCTGCGTCGATAAAAGACGTGTAAATGTTTTGTAGGCCCGGTCCGCTAGTACTCGATTGCAGCAGAAACCGGCAGCCCGGTGGAGGTTGACAGGGAGTTCGACGAAACAGAGTGCAGGAAAGGGAAAAAAAGAGCGGATAGAGTGAGTTAACGCATACAAAGGGACCAAAAAAGCAGCAGTAGCAGCAGCACACACAGACACAGACAGGAAGGACAGGCAGTAGAGGCAGAGGCAGGCAAGCAACAGACAAGCAGCAAACCAAAGGTACAGTAAGTAACCAAGCAAAGAGAAATCAGCAGCCCTCGAGCGGCGTGTGCGCAAGAAGGGGAAGGGTCAAAAAAGCAACAATCCAGAATTCTTGACCTTAAGCAGTTTTCGGGGTGAGGCGTCCGTGCTCGCTAACTTCTTCCGGTATCGTGGAATGGTTGCTTGGCTTCGGGTCCCTCCTTCGCTTGGATCTGGTTGGCTCACCTTCTCTTAACTGCACAGGGGTCACCTTGACCCAGCAATAACAGCGAATCCGAAAACCTGGCTGCCAGCTGCCTCCGTCACGCAGATGCGGCCGATCGAACAACCTCAGTGACCAAAATATCTCGTCCAAACTTACTGTCTCTACTGTACCTGACTGAATTGGTGAGCATGTAGATATATTTACATCTGCTCGACCTTGAAGCCGCCAGACTCGGTTCTAGACTAGGAACATCGGGGATCTTTACACGCGGGATTGATCCAGTAAACGCTCTTCCTCCTTCTCAATCCCTCCGTTTGGCGCGGCTCTGGGATGTTAATCCGGGGTGTTATTGGCATCTCTTGGCAATCAAATTCCCCCCCAAATCACCTGTGCACCCAGAAATGAGATTGCGATCCGATTAAACAGGAGCCAAACAGAAACCAACTGTAACATCACAAATCCATGACTACATGTTATGCTCCAGAGGAGGATAAAGCACCTGGGAAGAGAAATACATCAGATTTCTGCGCATGCATATAAATCGACTACTACTCTAGCTACTCTACATGGAGTCATCGACATTGATTACCTACCATCACTGTAGGTACAGCTCATGAGAAGAGCTCCATCTTCCCATCTAAAAAACACGAGGGGGCACATATGTGCATAAGTAGAGTGTATTTTACTTTACCTAGATATCTGCAACCCACCTGAAAAAGTTTATTTATCCGGGTCCCCGCGATCGACTGATGATTACACCTTCAGTTCACTAACATACCGATTCATCTCGCCAGATTTTGCAGTGGGTGATCCCGCGGACGGCGGAAAAGAGATAATAAAAGCAATAAGGCTGAGAAACAGGACCACGGTTCCAGGTGGTGTTGCCTAGGAGAACCATGCAAGTAGCGGGCGGGCAAGCAAACAGGCATAATCTACGATAAACGAGCCCGATTGGTAAGATCCAAATTACCCTCCAAGATGACGAGTCGGTTATTCTGTCAAATGCCCTTGCGTTACCCATCGAGCGAGTACATTTCCCCGTAATCTGTAAAATCGATATCGATCGAAGTTTGAAAGGAAGAGGAAGTGGAAAAATGTTTCCTGCGTCTGTGATCGCAGCCTATTTCAAAAGGACAAAATGTTTATATCGCATAGGTCTTCAAACAAATAAGTACATGTTGGACCGAAACTGGCGAGATACAGGAGAAGAGGGGAGCTGACAATTAGCCCTTGTACTCTATCCGGATTTGGCCACGAGCCGTAGGAAGTTGGATATGGAAGTTGGATATCGGGGCTGATAATGAGAGCCTCCCTATGGCCGACAATGCCGAATCAATTGAGTTATTCGGCACAGATTCCGACTTAAGATTCATACGAATGACACCGGGAAGACACCCGGTGGGTGAGCGGGGGAAAACATAACATTCATCTTATTCAAGATAAGCCCTTACCTGTTTTAATCAGTAACACCACATCCGTAAGCTACAAGAGGAGAAGCCCTTTTCACTAAAATACGCTTCATTTCCCAGCGCTTCTTTTTGTCTGTGGCACCACCGAGCCACAACCACCACCACCAACTTGATAGCAACGCCTCAGCTATTCTGGCGCGCGGTTATTTATCATTGACATCTGCTTTATTTAGTCATTCACTACGTCCTACTCAAGTGCCGAAAAACTCACTGCGCGCCCAGGGGCTCCAAAAAAAGGCAAGTCACAATTACTTTAAAAGCTACTTAGGTTGGTCAATGTTGTTTATTTTATCAACAATAGGTCTAGCCCCTGAAGATCTTGACAGCGAATAGTGGGTGATCATCGTAGATTAGGGTACGGATGGAGTTCATCGCTTCGCTTCGGTGCGCTTCATTTGGACTGGAATGAGAATGCTTAAGAATTCTAGAATGGGTATTTAACATGTTGTTGGGGAGCTACGTCCTACATAACTGTTATGAGATGCTTAACGATGAGGTCCCTACATCATGTCGTTGAGGAACTAGCATTGAGGACACCTATCTATCGGTCTGTGGTGACAGATACATAAACAAACAAGTTTACCAGAGTCCCACCGATCGCACAGAATCTCAGACAGAGATTGTATCACCGAGATACTCGGAATCAGCAATACGGCATGCACAGAAAAACGAAATAAAACACAAATTAAATGAAAATGCACATATGAAGTTACCGGAATTTTATTGGGAGGTCGGTCGGTAGCCCTTGGTCATTAGCATAATGCCATTTTCACTAATAATGCATACTGAATCAACTGGCTGCAAGGCAACAATAAGTCTTACCCCTCACGTTCACCGTTGATGCAATTGCACCTAGACTTAGAAACAATAACATCGATTAGTTAAAGACTCATGGAATCAATTTTGGGGAACAATACACTACAAAATATACTATCACCTCGGATTAAGCAATCGAATTGGATTATTTTTCAATCCTTTATTTTAGGAAGGTTTATCAGCGCAAACTCAGCCTCCACGATTGAAACACGTATAACTCAGATCTGAACTCAATACATCCACTTCTCGGCGTATCAAGTCTGTTCGTCGATAACTATAATATTATACACTCTCTTTTCCGAGTTTCGAGCATATTGTTGCTTCTACGACCCAGCTTTTCCATTCCCTCCGTTTCACAATTGGACTTTTGGCACTGGGACCTTTCATGAGAAATTTAGAAACTCAATCAGAACATCTGCGAATAGGACAAAGAAATCTCTAAATCACAGCAGCAATATCTTTTATTGTGCTAGCTACAAGGACCTAGGCTTAAAACATGAAATCATGTGGAAATCATGAATTCTCACTCGGTTCGATTTCAAATCGAACCGGCAAAACTAATGAATCACAATATTCAATAACATCTACGAAGTCAACTGCACATCGCAAAGTCTTTGATACTTCTCGTCACAATCGACACATCGATAAACACCACTTTGGACACAACTTCTTTTCCAGCAAATTTTTTGCTTCCTCTCACCTTCAATTGTGAACGTCAAGCCAAGGACAGGTGCCTCGTCATAATTTAGCTCGATATCAGCTCCAGTGTATTCGAGAACCATGTCTCCAATGCCATATACGTGGGGAATTTCTGTCTCCAAGAGCGGTACAACGTCGCATGGTTTATTTTCCAGTCTGCGCCTTTTATTAGGTTGGTTATGAGGGCGAATGTAGGATGGAATATTGAAGTTGTTCATGTTGACTAATAATTGTGGCTTTTGGTGAGACGAGTGATAGCGCGAGTAAGCGACTGGTGAGTGGTGGTGAGTTGATGGGTAGTAGTGATGAGAGAAAGGATGATGGCGATGGATACTTTTATAATCATTGAAAAGTATTCATGTTTCACTATTCGGAGGATGATGGCTTTGAAAGTGAAGATGATCGCGACGGGAAGCACAGTTTCTTCAAACTGCGTTTAAAAGAAGTTAGAAACATGAATATTTTGGGTTTTTTTTTGTCACGTGTTGGCGCATACGGGATATCCACAAATGGAACCAACTTGAATAACGGTAAGTAGTGGGTTTATTTACATGCATGGTCTCGAGCTCCTGAGTTGCGCTGGCTGCTAGCAACAGCAGTTGTATCTGGCGGAATTAGTCAAGGTTGAGAACTTGTGATATGATCTCAGCTCGGGAATTATCTTAAAGGCGTTCAATATTGAGCAAATTACAAACAATTAGTAGTACATTCTGGACCTGCACTATCTACCTGCGGGTTTGTATCCGACCCATGTACTAAAGATTAGGCCCGGGATCAATGGTGGGATCCTAGCTACTAATCATGATCGACTATGCATGACTATGTAGTCCTTCCAAGGATAGAAGCGTTCAGAAATTGAAAGAGGATTATCCCAGAGTGACGTATAAACTTGAAGTTTTAAGGAAAATAGCTGAGATGAACTGCCTTGGTATTTAAAGCCCCTCTCCGGGATGCCAAATTAAACAGATGCAGAAGTATGAGTAGTTAACCATATGTTTTGACAAAATATTGATCATCGATTATCGGAAAGATGGATATATGTAGTAGATTCTTCTTTGTTGCTCTTGAAAAACAGAGACGGGGCTTATCTGTGAATTCTATAAACATCAATATCACGTTCATCCTGCTGATCGTTCAATGAAAAGTTTTGAACTAGAAATGGGTCGTCACACAAGTACTTGCGGTACCGATTCACGAGTGATATCTCATGACGGCAAATGAACTCGATCTCCTCCAGTGAACACAAACAACTCAACTGTACAAGTACATGTAGTACTCTAAAACTTCCAAGAGAGCAACTCTAGTATTTCAACTCAACGGATAATTGCTGATTATGGGTAGTAAGGCAACCCACCAGGAGAGGACTCATGTATTTATATAAAGAACTCAGTACACATATCAAACCCCATTTAAGTGCTTTTAAAAAATTACGTTTGTACGTGCCATAAAACACATGTACATGTAGTTCCCTCAACCAAGGCACAATTGATTGATTCAACTCGCCCGTACACTCGTCTGTAGGCGTACCAAAAAGCAGGTTAACTGATCCGAAAGTATGTGAATAACCAAACCTCTCTCTTTACAAAACCCACCCCACAAATAAACCTAGGACTTTACACTAAGATAACCTCTATCACTTGACGACGCCCATAACCCGTCCTCTTCTTTTTTTTTTTTTTAGTAAATATCACATCGCACAAACGAAGGAGAAAAAATTAACCGAGATAAAACATAGGGGTATCGATATATCTACAAGAAAGGCCTAATCTCGGCTTCAATTCGCCAAAGCCTGAGGAGAAGAAAAAAAAAAAAAAGGATTAAAACAAAAGGAAAAAGAGCAAAAAAACTCCCCGCTGAAACAAGAAATTAGGCTAGGCAAGCACCATCTTTCCACAGTTACCCATATATTCACACCGTCAAGTCTCCGCTATCTTCCATTAAATTCCCATTATGAATTTTGAGTTGAGCTTCCCTCCCCGCCGTTATCAGCCTCCTGGGGCTTACTAGCTGCCGCATGTAGTCTCTGGTCCAGGGCCTTCAACGCCAAAGCTCTTCTTCTGTCCGCTTCAGCTCTTGCGCTACCTGGGACTGGCACCCCACTCGTGCTACCACTCCTTGAATGCCCTCCGTGACCACCGCCAAACAAAGTTTCCAGCCTTGCATCACCACGTGCCTCTGCCCTAGTATTGCCCGCTGAAATATCTGCCGCAGAAAATGGCGTGCAAACCCTGATTGTGACTAGAAGATTGTATACGACCTCTGAGACAATTGCAATAGGCCGACTTAATGGGTCCGGGAAGAAGTAAGCAATCGCAAAGGTCTCACTTGCATCTCCCTTAAGGCTAGGCGCCTGGTTGCTCCCCAGATCCGGGAATGAGCGCTTATAAAAGCGCAGATAGCACCATCCCGCGCCAAACCCTAACCAAGCAAGTATCGCGGCCACGTCCGTCCCAAACAGTGGTCCCGATAGTGTGTTGACAAGGAGAAACAGCGCTGGAAAGTGTTTCACCCGAATTTTGATGATGCCGCGAAACACGTCAACCGTGTGTTCGGGGACTAGCTGTTTGAACGCCACCAAAAACCCTGCTTGCAATGCTACCCCGCCACAGATGGTGACAAAGCTGGCAGATGGATCCCCAGTAATAGCGAATGTGATGAGGTATATAACGAACGCTAGGAAATTTGGTATGATTCCCACAACGAGAATAAATTTCCCGTACTCAGAGCTACCCCATGCGCGCTCAAGGTATTTCCCGCCGTAGAAAAGAGTTGTGAGTGTGATGATAAGAGTAAAGATATTTGATTCAATGAATGCCGCTGTTAAAAAGGTCCACGGGAAAGGGAGAGATTCTGCGGGGACCACCGTAAGGTAGGGTATGGTGAAGTACTCCTCGGGTATTTCACCCTCAGATGCTGGTAAGTCCGGGGAAGTTGTTGAGTCGGGGGTTTGACGTGAGAGAAAGTCCCTGTACCGGAGTGTTGCTGTAATGATGGATAATGATATCGTGAGGAGAAGAGATACCCGTGTCAGGGGGGGGATGTTGACTCGAGGGGGCATTGCAAGAGCAGTAACGGGAAGGCAAACCAGGGCGGGTGATAATTAGTGATGAGCTAACAGAAGGGATTTTGATGATGAAGAATTGTGAGGGGAGGTGACGTGACGTTAGATAGGTTGACGGAACTGGCTGGCTGCTTAGGTACTCCACGTTTCCCTAAGATAAAAAAACAAAACGGGAGGGTAACGCGCGAGACAAGGAAGTGGCGCAAAGACCAACCGTTAAAGTGGCTTAAGAGCAGCAGGCAGCCACAGATCGAAGTTTCAATGTGATGCGATATGCAGCCGAAAGGGAAAGGTTTGAGATGGTGACCAGGCTAGCGAATTGCCTTCCGCTGCTAGGCCCAAAAGGGATGACGCATTGAAGATGGGATTCTGGTGGATGTTCGAGTCTCACTCAGGGTGCCATGCCATGCCACCATCATGCTGCTTACTGCAACGGTTCCAGGTGGTGATCTTCTGTGGCCCTTGTTGCGTAACTCGATATAGCTATCCTCAGCTACCTACCTAGGAGGATGAGGAGAAGAGGGGGGGAGGGGGGCACAATGTAGTCTCTCCTGAATTGAAGAAGTCGTCTTGAATATTCGAATTCGATCCCATCCCTTGAAAAAAGACCCTATCTGCCCTAGATAAAGTAGCCAAGACAACATAAGCAACGTGCAACCGAAAACACGCAACGATCAAGAAAGCCTCCAGAGTCTGAAAGAGCCTACCCCCGGTCAACCAGAATGCCCCTGGTCCCCGGATCTCTCTCTTTCTTTCTGCTGTCCAACATCAAACCGCTAAAGGTGGCTGTTTAACACCTCATTCGGCCTGTCTGAGCATCCCATCCATCCACACCATAACGCACCCACACGGACGGAGGCCCACCCCCCCCCCCCCCCCAGTCACTCTTCAATTTCCAGCAGACCCGAACCAGTCCCAGCCCAGTCAGTAGCCAGTCAATCTCCATCTTTGAATTTATCTTGCTCAGTCGCGACTCGGCCAACCATCAACTGGGGACCTGTCAATCTCGAATCGATCAGTCAATCAATTGTAATCTTCAAATCTCCGAGTCTCCAAGTCCTCCTCTTCCCCAAACATACACATTTGCCCATACTTGTCCATCCATACATAGGAACTTCTCCATACCTCTCTTTACATTACTACATACTACGTACACACACGATACCTAGACCGTGTTGTTCGTCTCTTTCCCTCTCTTAAACTCCAGTCTTCTTTCTTCTCGAGGTCAAGGGAGACACAGTTCATGTAATCAACCATTCCTCACCATTCATCTTTCCGTGTCCACCCATCCGCCTCCCCCAGACAGCCCATTGCCTGGCCGCTTTTCGCTGCATACACGCGCACATCCTGTATCCTGTGCCTCTCGGCATCACTTAGAGCCACGCACCCGTCGTGCTTGCCTACCCACATCCTGCCTGGCTGCTTACTTACCTACTTCCTTCTCCGTTCTATTGATTGATTGATATTATTCCCCCAAAGAAATCTCGAAAGTGTAGGGAAGAAAGAAAGAAAATAAAGAAGGAAGAACAAAAGAAAAAGGCCCACAACCCTTCTCTCGCTTCCCCAGCGCCCATCCGCGGCTGCGCTTGTCCAAGTTGGCCTGCCCTGGTCTCTCCACCATCCATCAATCAGTCTACATACCCTCTCATTCATCCACTCACTCCCACTCCAGCAATCTGCAATAACTGTTCGTCTCGTGCTTTCTTTTGTGTCTTTTCCCCAATCTATAATCTCTCTCTCTCTTCTCTTTCAGACCCTATCTTCAATTCTTTCTCTCAGTCACCCATCCTTTTTGATTCCAACCCTTTCCGTCTCACGTATCCATTCACTCAACCAACTCTTCCCTAGCCTTCAACTTGGTAGACCCCCCAATCCCAGATTCTCCCTTCAACCATCACAACCCCATCACAACCCCATCTCTATCCACCTAACCCTGTTTTTTTGATTCGCTGTTATCAACTAACCGTCAATACTGCTAGCCCCCGTCGCGTGCGTCTTTGTGAGCACCTATGTCAAGCTCACTGACGTCTGAAAAAGTGAATTACCTCGTCTGGAGGTGAGTTTCTGATTCTCGAGAATATATACACCTATCCTACATTACATGCATACATCACACGCACTATCACCCCCACCCCCTTCAATATTTCTTCACCCCATCCATCAGTCCCCACTCTCATCAATAAACCCCTTCAGTCCGAGCTTCATAGGGACTCGAAAGTAATTATAGAAGTAAACCCGCTTACACTTATATCTGATACTTAGGTACCTTCAAGAGTCAGGTTTGTGCGCCCTTCCCTGATTTCCATATTCTTCGACTGGATCCCTCATTTTTTTTTGACTTTCATCTCTTTTACTCCTGTACCTCCATTGCTTAAACTATCCGTGCGACAGGGTTCCGGGAATCGGCCTGCAAATTTCAGGTTGAGAGTAAGGTGGACAGAAAAAATGGCTTTGGAGGGATGAAGACTGGCTCATTGATATACCTGATCCAGAGAGGTCTTCAGTACGTTGAGTGCGCCGCGCTCGTCAATAAGGCACGTTCACTTCGTTAGCGTTCGGGAGGCTGGTGCTATGTCTCGCGATTTCGATGGTTGCAGGATACGTCGCTGACTAAGGGTATCCAACCACAACAGGATGGTGGGTTGAGAAAAAAGTCTGCCGAGCCTTTCTGTTTCTTCCCAAACATCAATTCTGCGGTCGATGTGGAGGACGAAGGTGTTGGGGAGGAAAATGTCCACGCTCAAGAAGACGATGATGATCCAATGGAAGGATCAAATTCTCCAACTTCCGCCACAACCACTCAGACGACGAGTTCAAGAAAGCATGGGCGGGATGATGTGATAAACGGAAACGGCGTAACAGGCCACAAGCGAAGGAAAAAGGTGTTACCAGGAGCAGATGGCGATACGCCAATGACAGACGGTTTTCCGGAAACACCTGTACCTGTCGAACTCAACAGCATCGGTACCCAGATGGAGGAAGAGGTTGTTGAATTGACAGCGGCAGATACAATACTGCTCGGACAAGAAGATAAAAGCGTGTTAACATGCGCATGGAATCCAGTACATTCGACGGTACTTGTTACAGCAAGTCCAGACTCGATCGCGCGGATATGGAATGTGCCGCTCGAGGCAGCACAATCGTCCATGATTCAAAATAAGATTATATCACACGAACCGTTGGTTCAGAAAAAGGCGACTTTAAATGACCCGACGGTTTCAAGACACGGAGATGTAACGGCATTGCGTTGGAGTCCACAGGGGGATCTGCTGGCCACAGGCTCTTTCGACGGACAAACAAGAATATGGACAACTGATGGATTCTTACGCTTCTCGCACTCACTGCACAAATACCCGGTTACCAATCTAAAATGGAACAAATCGGCAAATACATTGCTTTCATTGTCGTGTGATGGGAAAATCATCGCGTGGGATGCTGTTACAGGAGACCTTCGAAAAAGCTATGAGTTGGCGAATATGGAAACAGCGGGTGATATGGACTGGGTGGAAGATAACCAGTTCGTCGCATGTGGCGACAAAGGAGGCGTTTTCAAATACGACTTGAACACCGAAGAATCTTTTGCGTATTCAGGACACGAAGGAGAAGTGAACTGTATAAGCTGGGATGAAGTATCAGACCGGTTTGCCACCGGAGGAGCGGTGGATAATACTGTTATGGTTAGCACAGTTCTCTAGAATTGAAACCTCACGCGCTAGTACTAACAATGTGTCTAGATTTGGGACAAAACCACGGAAGCTTGTGAGGCTAAGCTGACAGGACATATCAAATCGGTCGTTTCCCTCGTTTGGCAACCCATAACAACTAACTCGCCTCCTACATGCCGCATCCTCGCTTCTGCGTCCGATGATCGCACTATTCGCATATGGAACACAATCTCAAGGACACTGATCCATGAGCTACAATGCCATATTGATCCTATAGAAAGCATTTCCTTCTCACCAGATGGTTCACGGTTAGCATCGAGTGCAAACGGAAGGTTGGTTGTATGGAAGACAGAGACGGGTACAATGACGCACGTGTACGATGGAACGAAGGTTAGGAGGAAGAACGGGAAGGTGTCATCAGGAGATGACGAAGGGATCAATCAGATCAGCTGGGACGAGGGAGGAGTTAGGGTTGCGGTAGGAGGTGGAGAGCTGAAGGTGAGTTATATGCACTAAGTGTCGGTAAGTGAGGATTGCTGATAAGTGTGTAGTGCTCGGTGATACGTCTAAAGCCATCACCTTGACATGGAAGATCCCGAGAGGGGGGTACAGATATCCGTTTCGCCACACTGTCTCTGTAGTTCGGAAAGACTTGGGACTCCAACAAGACTAGAAAGGTTGTAGATGAGGTAGGCATGTCGCATGCGTTGCTAATGAAATATTTTGGATGCAGAAGCGACGTGGTGGGGATACTGGAGTTCCTTTTTCTTTATCTTATCGCCATATGGAGTTTTATTACGGTGTTTGTGTTTTTTTTTTTTTGTTGTATTCTTTGATGGACGTATGTTTTTGATATTGGTCTGCGTGTCTGGATTCCAAATGATACGGAACATGCTGAAAGGCCTACGACAGAAAAGGACCACAGCATTTGGTTGGAGAAACATATTTAGACCGACAAACTAACCGACTCTTCCAGCTAACCAGGAGACAATTTCTTTTCTAACTATTTATTATCCTTTTTACTGTTTGATTGCACTGCTTGTATACTAGTAAAGTACTCTTACCATTTTGACTTGTTGGGGTATCCCCTTTTTCTTTCATCTTTTTCATCTGGCGTGGTGGTTTATCTTGGAAAAAATGCGGATGTCCCTTTGTTTCGTTTCATCTCATTTATATATTATATACATGTATGATTGTGTTGCAAATTGGAGGAAGTTAGCTGGATGTGCATGCGGGGTTCGGGGGTGTTGGGTGTTGGGTGTTGGGTAAGGGGGTGCGATGGTGATGATCTTTTTCTATTTCTTGCTTCTTCTTGGCCGTCAGTTTGCAGGACTTTTTGATGGAAAGCTTTTTCTTCCCCGTGGGGTGGAGATAGGAAATTATTTCCTTTGCGTGTTTTATTGGCATTTTGGAATTTGGTTTGATAAACAAAAGATAGCATGGTTCTCTTTTTCTTCTTTTTTTCTTCTTTTTTTAGTGTTTCTATACTCATTTCCCCTTCCCTCCTTCGATACCTACACGCATAGTTACATATACTATGTTGGTCTCTTTTGTTGTCTTTTGCTGGTCTGGCCTGATCTAGTCTTTTGCTGGCCCCTTTGAGATTGCTGCTACTGTTGTTACTATTACATTTTGGTACTATAAATTCTATGGGTTGATATTCTATTAGGTGATCGGCATCAATTGCTTGATACTCATTACTGCATCCTGACTAGTTTTCTTCCACACTCAGGGGCAACTACGCATGCACTGTAGATAGCCGTTTGTCTCTATTATTACTGGTGCACCGAGTTACGATTCATGACCCTATCATAGAGAAGCCGACCGAGTGAGAGTGCATTATCATCATACGGTCAATGGCGAGTGAGAAAACATGTGTGAGAAATCATGATTACATCCTTTTATTTTCCTTAACCTCGACCACAACTCCGGCCCTAACGTACATCCTCTCCTACGCCCCCCATCTGGCATGGTCCGCCAGCGGAGTATGTATACAATAGAATACAGACATGCGTGATCCCTCGATAGGATGATAACCAAAAGCAAAAACAAGTGCTTGTGCATGCGAAGATAGAGAAGGGTATGGTGGAAGGGTATGAGCATGAAAGAAGACTACTACAAAGATTATTCCAATTCGAAAACCAGTCTATAACGCAACAGTCAAAAAAGAACAGAAGAAAAAAGAATTTAAAACAACACCACACCTCCGCGAAGAAAGAAAGAAAGGGTTAGTAAAGATACAGAAAGAAAGAAAATAAACCACCCGTCAAAAAGAAGTCAATCAATTGCTGCTGTTCAGGAAGTTAGATTCTACTCGTCCAAGACTGCCCTTTTGGCAATCCATTTCTTCCACTCCTTCTCGCAGTTGCGCCCATATGCCTCGCAGTTGCCAAGGTTGAGGATAAAATCGCCGTCCTCGTATGCGCCTTCATCGCTGCTGCCAGTGCCGGGGAAGCTGTTCATGATGTTTTGTGGGACCAGTGCAAGCTTCGTGAGGATTGTGGGGTGCCATTGGACGATATGCTCCTATAAAACACCACTATTAGTTTTCTCCAATTGAACGCCTCTTTCTAGGGGTGAACACTAACCAATGCATGCCTCTCCGCCTTCTGGAACCCATACAGCCTGAAAATCGGATCAAACCAGGCGTCGAGCAGATAACTTGCCCACTGCCCCCTCTTGACTACCATCGCGCTCGGATCCAGCCCCTCTTTATCCTGCGTCAGCACAAACTGGATTCGCTCTGCAGGTACGTGGCGGTATGTCTTGATGACGCTGTCGGGCGGGACGATGGGTACATCGCGGCGCATGAGCTTTGCGAGGCGCTCGGGAGCCATGATATGGGATTCGATGGAGAGCGTGGGGTTCATGATGATGCTATTGGAGTCAAGGAAGAAGAAGGTGCTTGTGTAGGGGAAGGTGGACATGGCGTGGCGGAGAGCGGGGATGCGGGACCAGCCGCTGGGGACAGGCCCGATGGGATAGTCGCTGGTAGACTTGACAAAGAGACCGTAGCCTGTTGGTGTTAGCTGTGCCGAGTGATGCATTGTGAGTAGAGGGTATGTGTATACCATGGGCTTCAGCATATGTACGGCGGTTCTCGATCACTCGCTCTATGTGCTCCCCCGAGTGGTGTTTCCGGTCCACCAGTAGAACTAGCACAGTGTCTGGCGCATCCGACGGCCGTGACGGACCAGAGCTTCGTCCAAAGCACAGGATCAGGATTACCACGAGCGCGATGAGTGCGTATATAGGTCTTCGTCGGGAGAAGTATGCGCGTGGGACAGACGATGCTGCGAGGAAGGGGGAGGAACGGTGGTTCCGAGTTGGGAGCGCGAAGTGCATGCTTGTATAATTATTTCCGCCGAGAGAAAGCGAGAAAACGAGTGTAGGGTGCTGTGATCTGGAACGGGTCTGAATACCAGGGACTGATTGTTGCTGATGTTGGTGTTGCTGTGAGGTTGAGGTTGTAGAAGTTGTGGGGGTGGGGGGGTGCTAATTCATGATGTGGTTGGAGGGGAGAGCGTGCAAGAGCTGAAGTGGAGTGTGGATGAGGTTGAATTTGACAGGTCTCCTGAATCTTGGAAGGCTCGGCTTGATCTGCGCGCAGCAGCTCTCAGTTATTCTGAAAACGGAAAGGCTTGATTCGTATGTTCTTTAGGGACCAATTCCTTTCTCTCTGTGTTCTATGTATGTACCTGGGTTATTGCCTGCTTGCGGAGAGTCGAATTGAACTGAATTTGAGAGAGAGAGAACAATTAATAATCTGGCGATATCCCTCCCCCATGGCGTGTAGTACGTATGTGTGCAGTTCCTAAATATAGAGCACGTCATTGGCAATCTCTCGGATTCCCATTATGTGCGAGAGAATCCTGTGTTCCCAAATACCCTGGCCTTGGGTCAGGTCGGTCGGTCTTCGGTCTTTCGGAAAATATTCTTCCCCCCGATAACTGGACCACTAGAGTCAAGTACTGTTACTAGCCCATTCGATTGTCTGATAACGGAGTCAGAAACAAAACATCCCCCCGACACGAAACATGGTCAAATACCCTACTCACACCTCACCCACAACCAACTTAGGAGCTCTCACCTGCAACCAAAAAGCAACACCATACTGACCTGTCACCAACCAACCATTCACATCCAACTAGTCAGCTCCATCTTGAATCTTCTGCACGAGAACGGCAGATCTACTCCATCTTAGTCTAGCCATCTCAAAAGTAGATCTTCCAACCGGAGCCAGACGCTCTGCAAGGATTTGATAACCACACACACAATCACAATCCCATGTTGGCTATGAGGGATCCCACCTCCACACCCCCCACGGGCCACGAACAGCACCGTGCGCGTCCTTGGCCAAACAGAATACACTCACGAGCGTAGGCACACATGGACCCTTCTCCCTACGTCCTATCAAACTTTAATGTGTCCATCTACAACCTAGACCCTTGTGCATGGGAAGGAGGCGGGGTGTATCAAAGTGTGAAACGGTGAATACGAGCCGGGAGGGCCCGGATGTTTGATGGAGATAGGAATCATGGCAATCAAGGCAAGGAATTGTTTTGGAGTTATGTTTGGGCGGTGAACGGATAATTCGGTGAAGGGCCGGGGTGGCTAGCTCATGGACAAGGACTTTGTGATGGTGTTTGCCATGCCTGCTGGGTGAGGAGAGGGGACAATACCGTATCGGACACTTATGACTGTCTTATCTGGATGAACCGACTCACCGACTATGTGCTGGAAAAAAAGATGCCAAAAGTCAGTGAACATGCGACTGCTCAAGAGCTTTCCTGGAGCTGTGGGGTTTATCCTATGAAAAATAGGCCCAAGCTATAGAGTAAAAATCTCACAGGGGAAATGATTTGAGCCAAAAAATTTGATGGACAATTAGACTTCATAGAAGTTAATCTAGTATAGAAATTTTCCACCACACACCAGCTCAACTGGATTCATTATCAACATTCCCGGCAGTGGACAATGCACTCTTCGGGCATACACCTAACCCGAATAAAACCGCGGCCACCCACTAGCTTTACCGACGCCGGCCCGAGGCCATAGACCACTGAAAAAATTGAAATACGGCAGCAGGTTACCGACATCCTCACCACCAGTTACAAAACACTGTTCATAAAAAAGTAATAAAAAAATACAGGTGGAAATGTTTCCCAGCAGCTTTTTATAAGTTCTAAAACGCTGCTAGGTCTGGAGGAATAATATGAAATATGTAGCAAGAGAAGGAATTAATGGACAGAGGAAGGGAAATAAGAAGGCAATGAACGTATAAAGTAGCAAGGGAAACTGTGGGAATAGGGCCCAGGTAAGTGCGTGGATATGTATAGGATATATACATGAGGGGGTTTGTTTAGGCCGTTAATGATCGTTCTACATGATTTCGACAACTACTCATCAACTAATTGGGTGCCTCTAGTGAGAACCACTAACAAGGCAATATTCTAAATTCACAACCAATTAGCATCCCTGTTATCTTATAGTTCCCATTGGCTATGCAGCTTACCTCTAAATCATGAATACTCATTCGGTCCGGACGACCTATTGATCTCCTGCTGGACATCCGCCAATAGAG